TTTGTTTTTACTTTGCTCATGAGGACGAGTCTGTACTGTCTTTGTTCTCATTAATGCGAGTATCTCCTGCTGTGATTCAGATTTATCGATGAATATGTTTCTTTCTGGACTACATATATCTTGAAATTCTTCAGTTTCTTACACTTATTTACCATTGAACCGCCTAATTTTTCATTACTGGAGACTACACAGATACTTTTTCTGAGATTAAAATTCTCTCATTGCAGACGAGAGTCAAATTTACTCCTCAGGATCTAGCGTAAAAGGAAAATAGTGTAGAGCCATGTAAAAAACGAAAGTGTTTTTTTTGCAGGATTTCTATGATAGATTATGAGAGAGGTAATTCTCCTAGTTTAGTCTAAATCAGAATTGCAGAAGACTACGATTGCATCTGATTTCTGTCAGACTCGTCGCTAATGCATTTACCCAACAAAAGAAGTCTCATGGTTTTCGTTTTTTTTTGAGAACTCAGACAAACTGCAAATATAATGTTGTCGGATTCCGAAAAGGTCATCGCAATCGCATGCGTTGGTTTGATTCATTCTCATTATTTCGGTTGATTCATTGTTCTCTCACACTTTTTTTGCAGTCAGCTATAGCCATGTAATCGCACATTTGATGAAATTCAAAATGTAGCTACCGTAACTCACATACGTGCCACATTTGCTTCTCCATTTTCTCACCTTTTTCTTCATGCAACACCTTCGTCCCCTCATTCAACATTCTGCAGAAGCGGTCCTCAGAGCAGGTTTCCTATGCAGGTTCTCTCAAGTGGAGTTTTCGCTTAAGTGGTTTTACAGCAAGAGACAGGTCTAGCAGAAACGCACAGTTTTCGTGGTGTTTCGTTTCCTTCATTCGCTTAGATTTTGTTCATTTCCTTTTAATTGCTTTTTGCTTTCAACTGTTTTTGCTGTTATTTTTCGGTTTAGAATTCCGGTGAATTTTATGACTTCCTCTATAGTTGCTGTAACCTCACACAGTCATTTTAAATGAAGTACATTGAACCAATGATAATCAAAACAAGCGAAAATGTTCTTGGTAGCATGTAAATGCTTCAGACTTTTCATTTTCCTCGTTAAATTAAGATAAGTGCTGAACCCTTATTTTTGCTCAGGTAGACATGCATGTCTTAGGCCCGTATGCACGTACATCCCCGCGGGGAGGGGATGTGCGCTTAACCATTGAAATGATCCCCGCTGGGGATCCCCTCCCCTCCCCGCGCGAATCCCCGTATGCACGAAGACAATATCGTACAAGGGATCCCCTGTGGGGAGGGGAAGTGAACCCTCTTATGCACAAGAGGGGATCAAGCGGGGAAATCACCTTGTTTTCAAATTTTCTATGAAAAACTCTTTCTTATTTCATATTTTGACTGCAACTCATCTTCATCTCCTCACTTCAATTAATTTAGGGTTGCGGAATGTGCGTATGCAGTGACTGCGCTCGGGGCGCTAAAAATGATTTTTTCTACTCCCATTATGTTCCTGCTTTCTTGGATGCTGCCCACTTTCGTTCATGCTGCTCCATTTCAGCGTCAAAATGTTGAACTATAGAAGTTGATGTGTCTCTGCAAGGGAATGGGTAGAAGACGTTATGCTGCCGAAAAGGGGGGGGGGGGGCGCCGCGCGGACGCTCAAAGCAGTATTCTAACACATAACAGAAGCTGCAAATTGTGCCAGCTCTCCATAAACGCTGTAACTATCAGCTGCATATCGTCGTTTATCCCAGGGGAATGATCCCCAGCAGCCATCCCTGCTATGCACAAGGGGAACGCTGGGGAGGGGATCACTCCCCAGGGGATTTCTACTCAGAAATGGGCAAATATGCTACTTTCTAGATTTTTTCGAGGCAGCTTATGTTAAAAAAACAAGATAATGGCAACATGTCATGAAATATGAAAGTTACAGTGTGTTCATTCAGCCTATATAGTTAGAACTATTATGTTATATGAAAAATGCGCAAATTTCCTGAATGATCAAGAACTCCTACAAATAATCGAAATTGGCAGCTATTGTTGCTCGGATTTCTTCTCAAGAGGCGAATATAGAAAAGAAAGACAAATTGCAAACCACAGGTCGCTGAGAGAAGAACCCGGCTTTCAAAAAAAATCCTCCATCAAAATGAACGAAATGCTTGGTAATGACTGAGCAGAACCAGAATATCCGCGTCTCTGGCATGATCTACACCATCGAACCCCTACTTCGTTGCAGGGGATGTCGATCCCCTCCCCCGCGTTATTGAGTTGAATTCGCGCATACGGGGTTCGAGTGGGGGAAGGGAAGGGATCCCCTCCCCCATTCGAACCCCGTATGCACTGGGGTTCGCTCGATCAATACCTCTGAAATCATTCACACCATCCCCGCTTAGGTGCAAGGGAGGGGATCGCTCCCCTCCCCTCTGTCATGGCGGGGTTCGGCGGAGGGGATCGTTCCCCTGGGGATTCAGCTCCCCTCCCCTCCCCAGCGGGGACGTACGTGCATACGGGCCTTATTGTTAGTTGACAGCTATCCTCTTAATTTGTATCTGTAATCGATATCTGAGTTTTAAAGCCATGGCATTATATCCGTGTTTGATCTTTGAATTTGATTTTCTTATTTGCTCAACTTTTTTACTCGCAAAAATCGCATTAATTTAGCCAATCCTTGGGGAACTTGATGACGTCTCGCTAATGAAGGGGGTAATTACGACCAGCCGTGTGTAGCCACTTGGTGGTGGTATGAACTCGCATCGATTTGCGGCATCCATCCAATCTTATTAGGAACTAGCTGGCTTACCCGGCTCCGCCGTATCCGGACCAAACTTGGCACACATACACTTCGGGCCCCGGCGGGTGTCACAGTCCACTTTTCGTTATCGATCAATGTCGATTTTACCGATTTTTATCGATTTTTTTGCAGAGTTCACCTACAGGGCTAGGAGTTGGCACAGGGGGGGAAGTGAGCATGGGGATTCCGAATACAACATTAGTTTTCAGGATCGTCCATTACTTTTATCGATTTTATCGATTTTTTTTGTAAAGTTTGACCTGCGGGGCTGGGAGTTTGCACAGGGGGGTAATCGAGCATGCTGATTACGAACACAATATTAGTTTTCAGGATCGTCCATTACTTTTATCGATTTTATCGATTTTTTTTTGTAAAGTTTGACCTGCGGGGCTGGGAGTTTGCACAGGGGGTAATCGAGCATGCAGATTACGAACACAATATTAGTTTTCAGGATCGTCCATTACTTTTTCGATTTTATCGATTTTTTGAAAATTTGAGCTAGGGGGCTGGAATTTGGCACAGGAGTGTAATCGAGCATGCTGATCACTCCCCTTGGGGGTGATCAGCATGCTCGATTACCCCCCTGTGCCAACTCCCAGCCCCCTAGCTCAAACTTTGCAAAAAAATCGATAAAATCGATAATAGTAATCGATAATCCCGAAAACCAATATTGTATTCGGAATCCCCATGCTCGATTACCCCACTGTGCCAACTCCCAGCCCCGTAGCTCAAACTTTGCAAAAAAATCGATAAAATCGATAAAAGTAATCGATAATCCTGAAAACCAATATTGTATTCGGAATCCCTATGCTCGATTACCCCCCTGTGCAAACTCCCAGCCCCGCAGGTCAAACTTTACAAAAAATCGATAAAATCGATAAAAGTAATTGATAATTCTGAAAACTAATATTGTATTCGGAATCCCCATGCTCGATTACCCCCCTGTGCCAACTCCCAGCCCCGTAGGTGAACTCCGCAAAAAAATCGATAAAAATCGATAAAATCGATATCGATCGATGACGAAAAGTAGCCTATGACACGCGCCGGGGCCCGAAGTGTATGTGTGCCAAGTTTGGTCCGGATCGGTTCAGAAATGGAATTTTCTATTCGGAACATACGTACACACAGACAGACATACAGACATACATACATACATACATACATACATACAAACAGACATTCAGCTTTATATATAAGATTCTCTGCGCATGTCAGCACGGAATGAGATATTACCATCACCCTTACTCATTTTCCTCGAAAGTTGCTTGTAATTTTGGCATAGCGTGCAGAAACGAATCATTTCAACGGCTTTTCTCTGAGCATGAGTTGTTAATCTATTTTTGTTGTGTGGAACTGTTCAAAATGCACTTTTGGTCCTACATGTACTATTTTTTATCTGTCCTTTTCCATTTTTCTGTAAACTCACTTTCCAATAATTTTCTTGTATTTTTTATGTGATATTGCCACTTTTTCTTTTTCGTCAATGCTGAAATCACCACTATCAATTAGGGTGATTGATCACTATCTCTTAGATCTATTTGAAATACCGAAAGGCTGCGCTGGCGACGCTGACGTGTCGTGTAGTTGCAGTTCGACATATAACATCGAAAACAACTTGTTTTTGCATTTCATTTTATGAATCTGTACTAAATTTCTCTACCATTCTCAGTATCAAGGTGACGTTATTTCAATGAATCATTTTCGATGACGTGTGAGCACGCGAAACAGTGCAGCTTGTTTGTAAATATGTTTTTAGGCAGTTTTAACACCATCGTTCTTTGAACAAATGAAGTCTTTTCTATCTCTGATTTTACGTCATTACAATAAAAAAATAGACATATTCACTACTTTTTCTAAACAAGTTTCCAAACCAAGGAGAAGGTGTTATTTACATCCCTTTGTATTTTGTTTTAATCCTCCATCATATCTCATTTAGTGGCTTCTTTCTAACATCAAACACTGCAGTAAATCAAACGAAAATGGTAAATATAAAGTACAGTGAGCGACAGCAGTTTGCTGCGGATCTTCCACATATGATCTACTTTTATTCATTTTCTCCTTTTATTGACCGCTTTTTTTTATAAAAGATGATCGGATTATTCGTTTCACAGTCACTCTTGTTCTTTTTCCCTTCGCTGGTGATTCCTTTGTTTGACAATTGTCGCGGCCTTATCACCACTCACTTTCGCCGATGTTGCAATTTGGCTAAATTTGTGGCTAATTTGTAACTGATTTTGTTCAGGTATGGGCTGGCCGTGGGGGTTGCTGATACTCACTATCGGCTTGGCAAGCGGTCAGCAGCCAGTATTCCGAAAGTTCGAGTACAAGCATTCGTTCCGTGCACCAAATCTCGCTCAACGTGATGGTTCAATACCGTTCTGGATGGTGAGTGTTGTTCAGTCATGAATTGTATTGCGGTGGTGTCTATTGTATGCGCTTGGCGCGCGCATTCAGCTGTTAAAACATCGTCAGCAATAACAGAACAGCAACAGGCTATATCATTTGTACATCTGTGCATAATGCGCTGGGCAATCAATAAAATAGTAGCCTTTGAAAGTCACTAAAAAATTAGCACGTAGACAAGATTACATATTGAGCTGATTGAGTTATTACTCAGGTATCCGGGGATGCAATCGCTTCGGGAGAGCAACTACGTCTTGCTCCGTCAATGCGAAGTAGGAAAGGTATCGTCTGGAATAAACGACCAATGCAAGAGAGTGAAAACTTCCAGGTCTACTACTTATCTTCATTTAGTTATTCTTCGTTTGATTTTGAGAATGTCTTTCCTTTGTAAGCATAAGTCAAGCTAAACCTCTTTCTATGACGCATAGAATGTGCAGCTTGATTTTTTGGCTGTTAATGATTTTCTGTAAATGTTTATAAGCTCAGATCGATCTTAGTGTGAGAGTCACGGGTCAGGGTCGTATTGGTGCTGATGGAATGGCCATTTGGTGAGTTTCATATTATAACTGTAAGCACTTCAAGAGTAGTTGTGCTGACTTCAGGTACACTGCACAGATGGGAACTATTGGGCCTGTATTTGGTGCCAACGATTTCTGGACTGGAATGGGTAAGGCTACTGTTTTACAACTTTACTTGATTATATCTTATTTCACAAATTGTGCACTATCGCTTTAGCATTTTTCATAATTATATTGAGCAAATGTAGCGGCCTTGAACATTCAACAGTTTAGGCATTTTCCTGGATTCCTTCGATAACGATGGCCAGAAGAATAACCCCATTATTGCTTTGATGATCAATGATGGAACTCGCTCGTACGATCATCAGACAGATGGTAGCCAACAGATACTTGCCAGTAAGTTGCATAGTTTCGCCTATCCTTGCATTGTATGATGAGGGCAGTTCCTTATTTTTCTTTTCTTTTCTGTCTTTCAATTCACATTTTCCTACATCTCATACATCCTAGGCTGCCAAAGAGATTTCCGTAACAAGCCCTACCCTGTTCGATTGCGCATAGAATACTTGAAGAATGTGCTCACAGTCTACGTTGACGATGGGATGCAACAAACTCCGAGATATGAGCTTTGCATGAGGTAACAGTGGTACGTCTGGCTGTCATATGTAGCACAATGGTGACTTTCTAGAGCTGAAAACATCCTTTTGCCGCGCAACGGTTACTACGGAATGTCCGCGGCCACTGGTGGCCTTGCCGGTACTTCTTTCCTAGTCATAATTGATGCTTCCCAACATTCATTCGTATTATGGTCCATTTTTTCCAGACGACCACGATGTCGTTGACTTCTCGGTCTTTTCCATTCAAACCGATGCCCGCGCTTCCACTCCTACTGCTATTCCACAAGATGAAAAATCTAAGTATGATGAAGAGTTCAAGAAACAAATGGAGGAGTATGAAGCTGAAAAAGCCAAGTAAATTTTTCTTGTTTCGTTTTTTTCTAAAGCTGTGAAGCATGTCCATTGCAGATTCAAACAAGAGCATCCAGATAAAGCTAAAGATGATGATTACTACGAAGAGTCGAAGTATTTCGAAGATGCCACAGCTCGTGAGCTTCGTCAGCTCTTCGAAGGACAGAGCCATATCGTTGAAGTGAGTGCGCTAGACGTTCCCTCGTGATCGTTAGTCATTTTTTCGCTTATTGTCATGAGACTTGACTTCTTTTGGGTCATCTTTTTTCTTCAAAACAGCAGTAAGTATGATTTTCAGACTTTACAACGAATGGAAACGAAGTTAAATATGATCGGTGGCGGAGCTGTTCAGGCTGTCACCTCAGCACCAGGTCAAGCAGGAGCAGGTACTGGAAGAAAGCCATATCACTAAAAATCGTAAAACTCGCACTTCAGTTCCTTCTGTTGGTCTGTTGCAACACGAAAAGAACGAAATCTTACAATCTTTACGAGATCTTACTCAATCATTACGAGATCAGAAGCAGTATGTGAACGAGATCTTCACCAAAGTGTATAACATAGAGCAGAAAACGGGAGTGGTGGTAAGATTTTGGTATTAGCTAAGTTCCCATAAGAAGCTACTTTTGCTGTTTAGGCACCACAAGCTGGAGGTGGTGGCGGCGGTGTGGCCATAGACTCAAGCATGCACCAGAAAGTAGATAGTTTGTTGAATGAAGTTCGGACAGTGCGAGCGAATCAGTTGCAGCAGGTGAGGCCTTTGCGTTTATATATACAAGGTGTCCCAAAAGTAAGTACACACTTTTCAATCGTTAATATCTCTCTTCCCATTACGTCTTTTTCAGCGCTTAAAGAGCCATTCTGTAGAGGAGGCTTCAACTTAGATTGTATCGAGCGAATCACCGATCACTCTTCATTACTGTAGGATTACTGTAGGAACTTCGACAAGAATTTTAGGCCATTGGAAGCCATATTATGCCTCGGAACAAAACCAAACAAGCCTAAAACTCCTATAGTATGTATGGTAGTAAAAGCCGCTGATTTCTAATCTGAGATTTCCACTTTACTGTGATGCTTCTTTTTCAAAATTATCCCGGGTAAAGCGTAATGACCGAATTCCCAGTAATTGTCAGAAATGTAATTACACCGTCAAAAAAGCTGGAAACACTCGTAAAAAGTTGTGTAGTAAGATTAGCGTGCGCGAAAACCTTAGTAAACGATTCTTCAGATTTCTTGAAAAAAATTTTGTCAGATGGCACTGTTCACAATGGTTCCACATGCTGGAAGTTCTCACCGTAATCCTATAGTAATGAAAAGAGATCGGTAACTCGCTCGATACTGTAAATCTAAGTTGAGGCCTCCTCTACAGAATGGCTCTTAAAGCGCTGAAAAAGACGTAATGGGAAGAGAGATATTAACGATTGAAAAGTGTGTACTTACTTTTGGGACATCTTGTATTTTTTGAATTCAATTACATCCAATGCTGCATTTTTGCTATCATTCTCGGCACGATTATCTTTGCAAGAATTACAACAAACATGGTATGATTTCGAATAAGTTTTCAACATTTGTATGCACGTATAGCAAGTTTCGAATTTTGGAAGTACGAACTTCGCATGGATGCCAATTTCTCCAACTGCCGTATTTGAGAACGCAACTTGGCAAATAAATCAGGCATAATTTCAGAGCGGTAGCGGCGCAGGCTGTCCTACTGTTTCGTGCTTATCGACGAGCCTATTCATGACTATAGCTGTTATCCAGGCAGTTGTTATTGTTGCTATGATATTCCTCAGGTTTGTTGGTTCATTCTTTTCCATTTACTGATCTCACTGCGACTGCTACAATTTGCAGAAGCAAGCCCGACAAGGCGAAATTCTATTAGAGAGATGATGTCGATGCTCACCTAGGCCGTACTAATATCATTTTCTAGACGCTTTGCGAATGATGGGCTGCCTTATCAGGTACTCTGAAAGTTGAGATCAAAGCGTGTTTTTGGTCAGTGATATTGTTAATGCCCAGTTTCTGGTTAGATCGATTTGTCATAACTATTCTTATCATTGGTAGAATTGTGAATGTGTCAGCATTGGGCTATCACTGGTGAAAATTGCCAGGATTACAGTTTTCCTTGTCTGCACAATTCTAACCATTTCACACTTTTGTAATATAACAAAGCAATGAGATTATTTCGTGTCTTTTGCATTGTATTTTTCTCCTCAAAGCTGTGGGTTTCTTTCTTCGTAAGTTCTCGTTTTATTGTTGATCATTTGGGTGCATAACTGTTGTGATTGTTATTAAGTCGGATTCTATGTGATAAATTTTCAATCTTTCCAGTTGTCTGCTGTTACACCTGTTTTGAGTGATACTGATGTAGCAAGGTTGTCGATATTGGAAAAGGGAGGAGGAGGGGGATTGCGTAAATGAGAGGTGCGAACTCGCCAGAAATTAATCAACCACCATACTCCAATGCACAGATTATCGATCGAATTTTATATGGGAGCAAGCAAACACTTTCACGTCAGAATTGTACGTGTTAGCTCTTTGTTGATGCGTTCACTGTGTACATGATGTTTCTTGTTTGATGTTTCTTGCATTCGTGAGTATACAGATTGACTCTGACCTATGTAAGAGATGACACAGATACAATATACAAGAATTATACATTTGCACATGAATTGGCTATCACTAGGTTCCATCAACTGAACTTGGTACAGTTGAAACAATATAACAAGGCCTACACAATTAGCCTCTCAATCTGAGTCAACGTCTTGAAATTCTGATAAAAACAATATTAAACCATTCATATCATTACCAATACGACTAGCAAACGAATCCAGTTTCTCTTTGACGGCGGGCAAATCAGCCACTTTTTTGAGTGATGGAGCTAGATCGGCAATGTCAGCGTAAGGCAAAATCTAAAAATCGTATTATCAACATCTGATAAAAAACGTAAGCTGAGAACCTATTATTAACATCTGATAAAAAATGTAAGCTGAGAACTGATGCTGGACAAAAATATGCCAAGGTACACCACCTTTCCATCTACCAAAAGCAACAATTGTTCCCGAGTTTGCATTTCCGCCGGGCTGTCGTTAGGACGAAATATCGTAAACTTGTCCTTGTTCGCCTTCAGAAGTCGCTGACACTCGTCTAACGGGACCTAGAAAACTTCTCCCTTAAGAGGCCAACGAAACGATGCAAAAGTACTCACCCATTGAAAGCTTCGGTCACACAACAGTTCACTCGGCCTAAACTTTCCTTTGTATCTCATTTTGGGACAAGTACTAATGTAGTAGCCCATATAGTAATATCTCGTCTCTGGTCGGTGCTTCATCACTTCGCGGGTAAAAGCAATTTCCCTCAAACACCAAGTCGCAAATTGGATTGATGGAATGTGTAATAGATATCGTCCATTACCGTAATGCAGTATAGGTGCCTAGACTTAAAAAAGCGTAGTCGGGATCATAATACATATATTTTGATGAAACGCATCGTGGCAAGATATCTATCACTCCGACAGCTATAAGGTGCCCGTCTAAAATGTACCATTGATGGTATGAACCGGTAGCGTATGAGCTGGATGACGGCCTGAACATTTGAACTACCACATAATTAATTACATATGAAAACTGCACTTACCGCAAAATCTCATCATCAAAAAGCGGAGTATCCACCAGAAAGCGCTTGTAACCAGCTTTGGACGAATCATCATCTTTATGAATCTTAGAAAGGCAACTTAAGTTGTGTTATTACGGGGGAATGTGACTCACAATTCTCTGATATTTTTCAAATAGTAGATAGGACTCATCGTACCGCTCCTTGAACTCTGGTGCATTAGTTCGAACGAGTTTCACCTAAAAAAAAGATATTTACTCTGAACAAGAAACAAATCAGTGAATTAGAGCCAAAGAAAGTTCTTCATATTTGAGCATAAGCTAAGCAATCAGATAGATATTGGCGCTCCTTAGAGAAGGTAAAAGATAGCTTGTGCGAAACTGTCCATCGCAAAGCGTTGACAAAAATTGTGAATGACGTATGTTGACAAAGTGGTTTGCTAGATGTTCCAATCCTGCATACCATCGCTGGAGTTTCAAATCCAGGATGTGAGTTAGAATGGAACTTCTATAGACTCTACCACGGTTAACTGATTTGCAACGTCAGTTGACCATCGACAGAGTCACGTAAGACAAAAAACTCTTCCTCTCTAAATTTGTGCTCTGCATATGTATCGAGTCTTTGAAGCAACCTTGAACAGTACGGATGCACCAGTTTTAGCACGCGCTTAGTACATACCTCCAGCTTATGCTTCCACTTTTCATCTGGTTCCAAAATATATGACTCTACGGTCCTTCGTCGAGCCTCCTCCTGAGATATAAGTTAAACAGTAGTTGACACAAGATGTGATATCCTTAACTATACTCACCTTCGCAGCTCGCGCTTTCTTCATTTCCTCCACATTCAATCCCTTAGCTCTCCATCTGTCAAAACATCGCTGTCTTCTCATTTCTTTCTTTTTCTGTACAGGATTTTCTGTTTTATCGACTTTTTTGAGGGAGATATCGCCTTTCTCGTGTGGCTTCTTCTCAGAAGTACTGCTTGACGAAGCTGGCTGTAATTTATGCCTATATGAAAGTGACCACGAGAAAGTTATGATTAGCTTACATGTGCATCCATAGGTGCTTCTTCTCGGACTTTGACTTTGGGCTTCACATCATTTCTCAGAAACTCATTCATTTGGCGCAACACCTTTCGTTGACTTTTTGAAAGGATAAATTTAGTTGAATCTAGTCTGAAAACAATGACGCTGTGGAACAGAACAACCAAAGATGTAGCAAACCTAATTGTATACTGCGGGCAACACGTTTTTTCCATCGTTGGTTTATAGATGTATTTGCCAGACCTGAAGTAAACAATCCTCTCTATATCGCACAAAGAAGCTCATTCTTCAGGATAAACTAGGTTTTCATAGAAGTAACCTCCGCCATCCTTTGTCTAGTAAAGCTTGATAGTTGTCAGGACTGAGACTGTGAGCCCAGACACCTGCAAAACTTCATTCAACATATTTGACATGAAAAGTGGGTGATCGGCTCAAATTGTTATGCTACGATGGACCTCGAAAACGGGTGGAGCAGGACTGATATGCGCAAAGTTGCTGAAGTCATTAGCAAAGCTTACTTAGAACTTATATTTCCCGAAAGAGAAGAAAAAAATCGCAACGAACACAGATCATCCAAAATTCCCTATACATACAAGCCCGCATTGATATTCATTTTGAATATAGAACCATGAGCAGGAATGTGGGGATGTGGCCACCCTATTTCACGACTCACAGAAACGCAAGAAGCAGCGCTAATGGCCATGCCAATCAAAAAACGACTACTTCACCTTACGTATTTTTTTGGTGAAAAACGGCAGGTTTTTTTCTGGGCTCACAACTCAGTACCAACACAGCTACAGATCAAAACTAGCTTGGAAAGCGCTAACACTATGTGATCACCAATTACACGCCACCTACCCGCTCCACCCGTACTCGAGTAACCGCATAAAATTCTCTGAATCCATTATATGAGCAAAACATCCTGTAAAAAGCATTCTTTGAGGACGTAACTAATTGCAAGTGAACTGATGAGTGTCGACCACTCAAGAGTTGTTAGTTCTGGGTTAATAACATTCGCCCATTTCACTCGTCACCACCTACCAAACGACACCGAGTCACCCTCATCCGGGTCCACTATTCCACTCTCCGTACCTAACGACGCTTTATGTCCAGCATTCTTGCAGTAGCCACATGATGAGTTCTCGGTTAAACCACAGTATTCGATGATGGACCATTTCACCATTTCTATCTAATAACCTGAAGAAAAGGGATGGAATACATGAAATAGTCACACAACAGAAGGTGTAGTTCCATTTTTCTTTGTAGTCAGGTTGTATAATGCACTTTGGTGGTATAATAATCGATTGTATACATATCCAACTAGCAATGCCCCACTAAATCGCATAGTGAAACAAAAAGGTTTTCCTGTTTCCACTCGATATTTTATTCAATTTCCAAAAACAGGTGTTGCCACGATGAAAACCCATGATGAACTCAAACAAAACGATACTAGGACGAAAGTTTCCATGTTTGGGCTCGAATTCACGTTCCAATTTGGCCAAATAACTAATCTCTTAATTCTCTACCGCACGAAGAGAGGAGAACAAGCAGCTATGAGCAATAAGTGAAGAAAAGTGAGTTTGAGTGGAAATAATCTGCACTCGTTGTGCTGTGCTTTGTGCAAGTAAGTGAAAAAGCAATTCTCAAGATGATGTCAAAGGCATGATCGAAATACGAATCAGTGAGCACTTCCGGCGAAATCTCTCAATATGTATAGGCAGTTCCGTAAAGCCATGGCGAAAAGGCGAAAAAGAATTTGGCAAAAAGGCCTTGATCAAAGGCCCCACTTCAGCATGAGAAACTTTCTCTTTGGTGAAAACAATCACAGCATAAAAATCGAAAAGATAAGTTTCTGAAGCGGTTTTTTTTGCAATACATTTGGTAAGATTTAGTAGCAAAACTGAATGAACTCGACTCGCAATGAATCATTACACTACTTTCGTTCGGAAATGGCCCAATATGTTTTTTTTCAGAAACCCGCAAAACTTACCATTTGCCTGTGCTAATTTCAGATCACTGACGCGGAACAGTAAAATTTGATACTGGCTAATTTTATCCACAAGATAAATAAATGTCTCATATATGCGTGGCAGAAACCAAGCTAAGCAGAACACTGTATGCTTGATCTGATAAAAGTTTATGTCACAAATTAGAGTTAACATTCTATTTAACATTCAATCACAATTTGCGAATATTGAGTAAATCTGTAGCTCAGGGACTACAACACACCAGTACTTATGACCGATAGCAGTTAAGAGTGCAGCAGACATCGAACAGCATCATCAATTCGACAAAGAATGACAAAGCCACAAACAGTATCCTTTGTTGGTGAAAGTCCCTACACATCAAAACGATGTATGAGACAAGCTAATCTGTCAGAAACATTATCAATAGAATAATGCTATCTGAGCGATACCTATAGTTGTTAATCGACATCTGGCGAATGCGAGGAGGTATTATTAGCTGCTGATTCAGCACTTACTGGGGCATTTGGAGTCGTCGCAGCGGTAACACGCTGCGACGACTTTTTCTTAGGTTGCTGTTGTGGTATTGTAGCAATGCTTCGCCAAGCAGTGATTGTAGAAAGTATGTTCGTCTTTGCCTAAAACCGATTTGCTCGCATATCGTTGAGCAAAGAAATGGCACACCCAAAATTACCTGTAGACTGCTTAAGGTGCCGCAAACCTCAGTCATTTTCGCAAGCAACATAGCTGCTCGAGCATCCCTCTCCTGCGTCTTGAAGCCGTCGTCAAACTCTGCTGGCTTCAACAGAGGAAGACGTTGGCAGATCTAATAAAAAAAAAGATCATGACCATTATGTCTGAAGAATCGTGGAAAAAACTGCATAGACATGAAAGAGATGGCAGTCTTCGGCATCAGCTATGCAATACTTCCATTTCTAACACAGAATATAAAACACCACATTACTCAAAACTCGCAAAGATGCACTGACTTACAATATGACATAAATAGATTCGTTAAAGTCAGACGTTCTTTGGAAATTCAAAAAGGAAATTCAAAAAGCGGGTCGATCCAGAATTCATGCCAAATGTATAGATTCTGTGCGCTTATACAGAATGACAAACAGCTGCTGAGGTCGATCTGCGCCTACTTCGTTCCCAACACAAGAACGCTAATGCAATGGATCAAGTTATCTTCGTTTTTCAGTGAAACTGATAATTACTACCATTAAGTAATCAGTATACGAGGACTAAAGATATGACGAAACCAACCTTGTTTGCCTCCCTGATGATTTCATCATTTGGTGGATATTTACCCTCTTGCACTCCCTTTAAATATTCGCAGATAACACCTATTTTGTCAAGCAGCATAGATACGGCTGATCCAGCTGCTCGCATCTGCTTCCCTTCGATAGATACAGCACCGTCATCTCCAGCCTAATAAGAATCATGTTCTTGGAGAAGAATGAATGTAGCGAAGATCGCGGGTGCATGAGAAGTACCCACGATAACGCGAGCAATTGACATTAAATCAATACCTGTTAAGCAATTAAGAAGACTCACCTGTGATAAACGTGCGATATGATCAATTCCAATGCGTTCGCTTTGCTCGGATACTAACGTCCAGTCTAATTCGGTCAATTCATGACCAGTTGAAACTAGAGGAGTTTCCCGACTATAGTAGACTTTCACCGGGATTCGGGAACTAAAAAAAGAGGACTTTTGCAGAAAAAAGGACGAAAATGAACGTCCTCACCTTTTCGTTTGAGCGCTAACAATAGGGTTCAATTTTACCATCAAAGGAGAATCTATGGCTAATGCAAACAAGGACTGTAGCAAAAGCTCATCAGGTTCAATTCCGTCCTCCCCAGTACAGTACCAGCCAACAAGATCCAACTCTGGGAACACCTGTAACAAGCGATGAAAGAGGATGGATGACCAGACTGGAACATACTTCATTGTACTGTGCAAGCCGCTGCCGAAGAAATTCCTCATTGTACCTGGTATGGCCATCTAAGCTGAACATTCGCAGTTCAAACGAGTTCACCATCTCAACATGACCTTCATCAACTTTGCCAAGCACAGCACCAAAAACCTAAAGATAACGAGTCAGAAGGGTTTCACCCAACGCGAGAAGAGCCTTGTAAATTCAATGCAATGTAAAATTCCAATAACCATTTTGGAACAATTCCTGAATGGAAAGAGTGGAATATAAATTTGCTCTTGGCCCACATAAATGTGTTGTGAATACCATGACTTCAGAACGTTAGTGCGTGGGCCACATTGATCTTTACGGTCAAAAGGAAATTGCTGGCAGATACTGTTATACCTTCTGTGCAGCTTTGTCTCTGCTTTGAGCTCGAACACGGGTCCAGTGTTCGGAAATATTGATGATGACCAGTGGGTGTAAACTGCATTCTATTTGTGGTACTGCTGACTTTTTGGTGGAGCATGGAATAGCAGCAGCTGGTTCACTATGCATCACTACATCCGTCATTTTGAGGTATACCTAACAAACAGAGTTGTCAACAAAAGCTAGATAAACAGGGTCAGTAGGAGCATGGGCACGGAACAAACCGACGCAATGAAATGAACAAATGTAGTTCGGATAGGATTTCATTATTCAGAGAAAAAAAGTGGTGCATATGCTTACGAATTCTACAAAGACTACACTATTATTGCAGACATTCATTGTCTCATCAGATACTGGCGATCTTCTTTTTCTGAAGCTCTGCGCGTCTGGCCATCTTAGCCGCCTGGAAATGTAATTTTTGGAATATACACATCATAAAGTTGAAAAATTCAGAGCGAAACGCCAAAAAAAAAACAGGGCTGCTGTTCGTCCACTGCGACGTTAGTGAGAAAAATAATGCACCTTCTTTTCCTCTTGTTCTTTTTGCTGTAGCATGACTTCAAATCGTGGATCTTTCGGATCCATCCAGTAACCAAAGTACTCTTGTATTTCTCTGGAAACAATCATTAAGTGATTTGTTATCTAGCTCAGCTGAACATACCTTATCCTGTTCTCCAGCGCTATTTCCTTTGCATCGCGTTCCTTCTCAGCTTTCACTTGCGACGCTTCGAACTTAGCCAATGCCTCGGGATACTTTTTAAGATTTTTTTCCAACTCTGCTAATCTTGCCGCTTCCTTTTCTTTTTGTTTTTGTTTCAATGCCTTCATTTCCCGTAAACAAGTGTCATATTCACGATACAAACCAATAGCTTTCTCCTCTTCAATTTCCTGCAATAAAAAAGAGTTACCGATATCACCAATATCGGAAAATTCGGACTAAGTCAGAAACTTTCAATAACCTCGACAGTTGGCCAACATATGCCGGGATCAACACCACTTTTGAGCCCATACATACCGAACCGCTCCATCTGTGCACTTCGTTGTCGTTCCCATTCAAATTCTAGTGGAGGCATCCCTCCCGCCGCTATCACTCTATGGCGAGGCTTGAGCCTGAATAAAGCGTACACATAAATTCATTATCTTACGTTCATTAACCCCAAATATGGCTACGTCATCCAGAATGAAAAGTTATCACTAACGCAGATATGTCTGTCTTGGGAACATCTCTCTCTACATTGGTAGCAACCGCTTCCAAGGTTTTTTCAGCTGGAACTGATAGCTTCCTCGAGATGACAACTCGAGCAGTTGCGAACGAACAGCTTGGAGCACAAAACCGGCCAAGCATCTAGTTTTTTCAATGACTTTGATGTCTGAACGAAACTACATGAATCTAAGGAAAAGATAATGACGCGGATTCCAATTACTGCCTCCTTTTGAAAATGCCTTCTGAATCATAACTGATCACCTTATGAAAAAGTGATGGAGCAAAATAATTTGTCGAAGCGAATTGCTATCACAACACTTCTTAAGCTAATACAGTCGACTAGGACCTGGGCGATTCACAAGCTGCAAATGCACACAAGCTTTTATCCGGTCAGGGTCGATTGACATCGTAAACTCTTTTGAGCGTGCTTTCTTTAGATTTTTCCAATCTACTAGTTGAAGCTCAAATAGGACGTGATTGATATTCTACTGTACGAATGGATCTGTTTTTGTTCAAAATTATCTCATCAATGCTACAAGCTTAATCACATTCTCCACATACGCGGTTCTGAGAAGATATAGAAACATTTGGTAACAGCCAGGAGATTACGTGTAGTATAGTAACCAAACAGCCAATTTCGACTGATAAAAGCAAATGAGTCGAAATGGCGAAACCCAGATAAACAAAGAAAAAACTGGCCGACGAATCTGGATCGAACACGCAATTGTTTCATGTGTGCAACTGCAGCAAGTGGTACACCGAAAACAAATCGTGTTTATGCGAAAACGCCAACGCAAAGCCACGCGAGCCCAAGTCAAGATTTCATCAGAAACCAGACTATGCCTAGTTTATTTCTTACCCTCTTTCAGAATTATCCAATCGGCAATTCTGCCCATGCACTGAGGCAGACTAGATTCGATTCAAGCAAGGTTTTTGAAAGTACGATCAGATTTCTACCATACATATTCTTTTTGGAAATTCTGAAAAGTGAATATGTTTATGCCAACAATCATTAACATACAGACCACCTTTTGCAATGTACTTCAATTACAGGAAAAATTACATTGTACTTCTACTTAGATACACAAATTGAGATGCTTGTACATGTATCCGTAGATTCCACACAAAATGAAAACAATTACAACAATTACAGTAACCGGAAAGTTGAAAAATGGAAGCTTCTGTTAGAAAGATAAGAACGATGGAGTCAAAGAAATTATCGCTCCAGTTGCTCAGCAGGTGTTTCTTCTTCTCCTTCGTTATATATATTGTCTGCCATTTGCCAAACCTAAATGTAAAATAGCGAGGTATTGATTTTTCACAAGGTGCCACTTCAATTAGAGAGAGAGATAATTTGATACTTCAATAAGATGACTAACTTAAAATTGTGACGTAAAACAAACCTGCATGATGTTATCCTCCGAAACGCTACATACTACCCATGGCTCATTAGGATTCCAAGAAAAGTCGCTGATTTTTGCTGTGTGACCACCGTGGATGAAAAGAAGCTCAGGCGGGCCATCCTGAGTGCAAAATTGGAAATATATGAAATTTTTGATTTGAGCGAAGTAGTCACCTCAGCATCCTCAGGAATCTGTTCCTCACCAATCTTCGACAGATCCCAGACATGAAGCCTCCTGCAAGACCAATCAAATGTGAGATACTACCAACTGCACAATGACCAACCTATCGGTTCCGCTGCTAGCCAAAATCGTCTCATTATGCGGGCTCCATTGCACTTGGAAGATTTCGTCCTTGTGTGATTCAAATGAATGCAATTTGAGCTTCATGTTTCGCAAATCCCAAAGGGCAACAGTCTGAACAATCACAATACATTCAAGCAGATTTGAGAAGACTGAAACTTTTAGAACACCAGGAACCTACCTTATCAGCACTTCCAGTGGCGAGGATAAATTCTGAGTAAGGATTGAACGACAAGCAGTTGACTTCAGCCGAGTGAGCATCGACGGTGTGTGCAGGCTGACTTCCACGGATATCCCAGATCATCAGTTTGTGATCATCGCCAACAGAACCAAAAACTGCTTCATGTAGCACATGCCAAGCGACGTCTTCAACCACCTAAAGACAAAAAAGACTTCTGTGTTGTACCACTTACAAAGGAACATAAAAACAATTCAATCGCACATCACGAGTATTAATTCTTATATAGTTTGATTCTGTAGGTTAAGGAATATTTCGCAATAACGTATACTTACTGCAGTATGACCTTTGAAGATTGTTTTTGCGTCCAGATATCCAGCACTGACCTCGTTTGCTTGTACATCCCAAAGGCATACCTGAACCAAGACATCATATGAGCATTGTGGGTAACCTAAGGGTGAAACATACTGTCATATCATCGGATGCGGAAAGGATATGTCCCTGTTTGTTCGGGTTCCATGACAATCCATAACCTTCCTTGGTGTGACCACGAAGTCGCAGCTGAGGTTTGCACTGATTGTCCTTGGGTACAGAGGAGTGCTTGGTGTAATCGAAGACGAACACCTAAACAGGAAATCAGGGTTGCTAGACAAATTCATCCCCGACAAAAAAAAACACGCCAACCTCAGCGCTAGGCGATTTCGTCGCAATAATTACAGGGTTTTGTGGCATGTACCGTGCTCGGTTGACTTCACCGTCATGGTTGATTTTGATTTCCGTTTCAACCTTACCAGTAATGGCGCCAAAACCACCGAACTCTAAAAATAAGTCGATGAATCACACGCTTGATTGTATTCAAAACAAACCTCCTTTTTCAGTATCGTATCGAGAAGCGTCAAATTGAGCGTCATCAGTGGGCAGCTGGATCTTACTGATTAGCAAGTGATTTTGCTCGTCTGATGTATGAGTTCCAAGAATCAGCCGCTGTGTAGTGTAGTCACCATTTTCCGCCTAAATCAATGCAAATAAAGCTTGTAGAAAACCTTATGATGGGCTCACAACTGACAAACATCATCTACGAAAGCTTTTACCTTCTGTATATCTGGTAACCACTGTACTGTTAAGCTTGGCCATTCCAAGGCATGTGTCATCACCATGTCATACAAGAAAGGGGTGTTCTTTTTCCAGATTTTGTACTCCTCGTTGATGACTTTCTCCTCCATGCTCCCATCGCTGGCCTCCACCATGTTTGGTACTAGAAAGCAATGCCGCATTAAAGTAATTATTGTAAATTCGAGACATGCATAGAGATAAATACAGGGTGTCCCAAAAGTAAGTATCGAACGTTTGATCGTTAATAACTCTCTTCCCAAGAAGTCTTCTGCCTTGCTTCAGGTACCGTTTTGTAGAGCTGGCTTCAACTTAGATTTGCACTATAGAACGAATCACACATCCCTCTTCATTACTGTAGGATTACGGTAGAAACTTGAAACATATGGCGTTAGTGTGAAAAAAGCTGCCGTTTCAAAATTTTTCAAAAAATCATGAAAACTTGTGTAATAGGGTTTTTATGGACGCTGAGTTCAATACTCAACTATTCACAAGATTACGAAGCTTTCCAAACATTGCGATCCCACTTTTTAGGAACATTGAAAAAATGGCCGCTACTTCTTACCTGGCATAACTCTTCAATGAAGCATCATAATAAGTTGGGAACTTTACAGTTATAATCAGCAACTCTAATTAGCCTAGTGTAAAAGTTTTAAGGCTGTTTTGTTTCCTTTCTGGGGCAAAATATGGCCTTTTATTGCTTAAAACCCTCCTTGAAGTTTCTACCGTAATCCTACAGTAATGAAGAGAAATGAGTGATTCGTTCTATACTGCAAATCTAAGTTGAAGTCAGCTCTACAAAACGGTACCTGAAGCAAGGCAAAAGACTTCTTGGGAAGAGAGTTATTAACGATCAAACGTTCGATACTTACTTTTGGGACACCCTGTATAGCAGAATCGTATACAGGAAGCAATAACAACGACACAGACACGAAAGGCTGGGTTCATACGATCCGTAATTTCCGGAAAAGTTAAAACACAGGGCTCGAAATGTGCGCTATGCTGAAACTATTCCCGAACATGCGGATCAGTATGAACCCAGTCAAAATTGAAGTCCGTATGCTTTCATATTCTAGGAGCCGGCCTTTATTCTGGTTAGACTAGACTTTTTGGTACAGCAATCCCCTAGCACTTTTCTACGGATCCAAATGCTAAAACACATGTAAAGGTTATTGCATGAGGAAGGTGCAGAAGCAGTTTCATTTGCGCGAAAGCGGCGCGCGTATCCTCAGCGTTGAAAATTTGCGCCTCATACTCTCTGCGGCTAATAAAGCCGCTTCGCGCTCAAAGGTAGTGCGCCTTCGTCATGCAGCAGCCTATGAAGTTTACGAGGTAGAAATTATAGCCTTTGACCAAATCAGTTTTGCAGCAAACGTGTTCTTCCTGACGTACAAAAGTGAAATTTGCTCCTGCATCAACACGAACCCGATCTCTTGGAAGCCTTTTAAGCAATTTTTGCTATCGAGGTATTGTGTACTATATTCTACTGCAAACTTGCTCCAAAACATGAAAAATCACAAGGCCTGAACAACTACACCCCGTGTTGGGGAAACCATATTACCCTCCTTAAATTAATTTGCCCCCCCCCCCGTCCATCCAAAAGAAGCATCTCTTTATTCGCGCAATATTGGTAACCCACCAGCGAGAACAAAATGTGCAGAAGAGTTTGTCACCGACCCCGAAAAAGTTTTCCCTCTACTACTTTTAATAGATCTACATTCATCCCATTTGCAGTATATGCAAATCCATACAACCAACCAAGAAGTTTCGCATGTAGATATGAAAGTCTAAAGCTTTGAGACAACAGCCATTCAGACTCAAAAAACGACATAAATACTAACTAAAAACTCAAAACGGAGACAACTCTGCACTAACAGGAAAATTTACCGCTACAACAACTTCGACGGATACACCTGAATAACTGAAAAATACGACATGTACTATAATAGAGAAGAAGAGGATAAATAACATCGTCTTGCACCAGAAAATGGCGCACAACTTCGAACGCAACGAATTTGCCGCGCCCGGTCGGCGACATTGGTCCGCGCACGAAAGATCTGGCAGCGAGCCAGTGCAAAGATCGAGCGAAGTGCACTGTAGAATTTCAATTCAACTCGAGATTCTGGAATCCAGAAGTGTTTGCAGAGAGTTGTACTTTGTGACAATATATCTGTTTGCTTTGTGCAGTGTCGGGTATGATACGCTGAAAAACATCTCCTTTCAGGTAATAATACTGATGGAGGAACTTCTAGAGGCAATTCGCAATCCATTCCTCATAGCCTACATATCTGTATTGTTGACGTTTTGTGTGGTGAGTATGTCTTTGTTTCTGAAGTCAATTTAACTCCATTCAAAATCGTTCAATTCAATGCCCAAATTGACTATGGATTGTAAAGTTTTAGTTTCGTTTTCTCCCATATCATCTGCTTTGTGAGGAGTCATTTTTTCTACATTAACAGCACACATTTCTCTTCTTTAGGTCCTCACAACTCTAGCATATTCTTGATGTCCTGATTTTTGTATTTGTCTTAGGTCAGCGGCACTCAGCAACTTGGAGATAAAGTCGAACTCGAATTCCAAGCTTTCCGCTTACAACAGTACGAATTAAATGGAAATATAATCGGTAGCAAAACCTTTCGAGTCCAGTATGAAGCCGTATCGCTAACATCGAAAGCATTGCGAAGGTATGGAGCTTTTTATAATTAACATTTGACTTACGTTGTTTCAACATCTTTTGTTTTAAGATGTGTGGTCACTTCTTGGCGAGACTTGACTAGCTACACAAATCTGGACGATTTATTGGCTACTAGTGTTGGTGCACTACTGGTGATCATACCATCTGATCTGGATGCTTTGTCACCAGCTGACAAAACGGTCAGTGATAGCACTGACTGTACCAACCTTAGAAAATTGTTTGCTTTTTCTTGCAGCTCTTCTCCGAGTTGGAGCGTAAGCTAGCCACAGCTCGAACAGAAATGGCTGTTTATGTGACGCGTTCTTCACCGGACGCCAGCGCTATTCTCAGTGATGTCCAGTCTTCATCAGCTACTACAAAATCCGCAACTCAGCATCTTTTCAACTCTATCGCTGCCAATACGTTCCAGGTTTCTTTCTCAGCTACCACTTTCAGCCGTCTTTCTTGCCACTTTTATACTTTTCACTGTTTCTTATTTGCAAAATACATCATAACGTTGCGCATTCAGTTCACTTCTACCGGCTCTCACTCTTCCAACGCACTTACATACAAGCCGAACAACATCATTGTAAGCCATGTTTCTTTTATTGTCTTATTTTCTATATTTCTCTTCCTTCATATTCTATCCAGGAATAAATGACAGATTTGTAGGGCCGTTTGAGAAGTAGTGATCGCTCAGCCCCTACGATTGCCTTCGTTGCCCACTATGACTCACATGCAGCTTTTCCTGTAGGCCGCTCACATTCAACATTACTATTTCCGGTTCAGTCTCTGCGTTTCCTTCCTAGGGTGCTGCCGTAGGCGCGGATTCGAATGGAAGTGGAGTTGTAGTTCTGCTAGAATTGTTGGCGATATTCAGAAAACTCTATGAAAAACCTGTTACGAGACCGCCTTTCAATCTAGTAAGCTGTTGCGATTTTTCACTACAAAATTTGAGAATGAGTTGCAGATATTTGTGTGGACTGCAGCAGGAAAATATAATTACCAGGGTGCAAGACAATTCATAGAGGACTTCCAAAGCGCAGGTAGGTTGATTAATTTTCAGATTAATTGCTAGAGCTTACGTATGCATTGTCTCAGATGATCATCATCTTGAACTAGCTATTTGCGTCGAGGCTTTGGGAGGAGCTGGATCTTTGAGAATGCACGCTTCTAAGCAGCCAGCTGATGGGTCTGCCGCAGGTAATTTTTCGATGCATGCATTTTTTATGTTTTACCAGTTACACGGTATGTGTACTAATAGATATATTGTCTTTCTTGTTTACAGTTTTCGAACTTATACTATTATCCCTTGCATTGATATTTTTTCTACAGATCGATTACTGCGTCGTCTTCGTCATGCAGCACCAAATCAGAGTGTTGAACTTGTCACGAAGAAAATCAGCGTAAATCAGCCGTCTGCATGGGAGCACGAGAAGTAAATTTGCCTTCTTTTTTCTTGTTCAAACTTCAAAACAAGTACTTCAAGGTTCAATATCAAACGACTACCTGCAGTTACACTTTCTCGCCTATCAGCCCATGATGATCCCATCAGAAAATCGATGCTTGATACTCCCAGCCAGTTGAGTTTGGAAAATTTGGAACTAAATATCCGGTGAGCATAAGAAATCTTCCACACACATATGAAACTCTGCTAGTTTTCACCTATTAATCAACCATTCTCCAGCATTATTGCTGAAGCAGTGCTCGGCTACATGCTTTCAATCCCGGAAGGCGGTTACTCGACAGATCCGCGCGTCTCTGCTGATACATCTTTACTGTCACGCGACGCTGTTGATCGTCAGCGACTCGCGCACGCCATCCGACAATTTGCATCGCGGCCGCGACCAATTGCGGACGAACCTGCGACTGTCGCGTGCGCTGCAAACTTGGCAGTAGCCGTAGGGAACTATGCCAAGGTGAGTGGGAATCTCCACATCTAATAAGTTCGGTTATCGCAATCCTCACAGGTCACAGTGTCGCCGGTCTCAATGCATGAAGTGCAAATCTGGCCTGGAGTGTCAGATCGACTGATGGCAGAGCGTGTGAAGCCAGCAGTGTTTGATCTCGTGATTGCCGGAGGCGTCTTTGCCTACCTGGCAGCTTTTTACCATGTAAGTCCAATTTTGCAAGCCATGCGGATTTAGGCAGTATCGTGTGTTTTTCAGATTGTTAGTCGAGCTCAGCGAGTACTTGAAGGTGCTATGCTCAGATTGCGAAAGCGAGTATAGGATATCGATTCGTTGCTATAACTCATCAGGTCTCCATTTCGTTTCCTATTTCTCTTCAATTTTTGACTCAGAGAAAAAACATGAAGGACAAGTTTTGCATCAATATTTTATATGAAGTCTCGTGTTTGTGCCAGAAACAAAGTTTTAATGCGCTAGTATTGATTTACGTGGTAACGTTGTATTCTGAGGTCTGTTTCAATTGTGCTTCATCTCATTAGACTTTGTTAACAATTTAATTTATTGATAGATAAATTAAGATAATTATCTGAAACAGTTACGCCATGTAAAATCATTTTTTTGGTGGAGTTCGATGGGAAGTGAAGATTCTTATCGAAATCTACTGAATTTTCACAGATTAAGCGATGATCTCTTCCTGTGATTTTTGTGAAAGTTGGGTTATCCCTTGAGCGCAGAGACTCCTGCGTGATGACAATGACGGTGGTAATCGCACACGTTGAAACTTTGTGCAACGCTAGAGTGTAGTTGAACCTTGACTGTTAGTCGAGTGTCTTCTGACAAGAGAATTTGCACTCTTTTGCGGACTAGGAAGTCTTTTGCTGAATATTTTGATTGAAAATTGATAGAAATTTTCAGCGTTGTGGCAGAAGAGGAATCTAGACTTTTGACACCAGATTTTGAGCTTGCCGAAAATCTTATGTTGCGAAGTGCAATAACCTACAATCAAACAAAGTAGGTAAAATCGAGAATTATTAGAATCTGCTACTATTCACGTGATGTCAGGAGGATGACTAACTTTGTCACGGTTTACATAGTATTCTGGTAATTTGCATACCAATCTCCCTACGACGTCCAGTTTAGTCGAGTTCATACATCATGTAAAGTCTGCTGGATCCAGTTCAGTTGTGTCGATATTTTGCAAACAACGACCACTGTGACAAGTGCCTTCGTAGCAGATTGGCGTTTGCTCGAATCCCTCACAATTCGCACCTTCTCGAAGTTTTGCTATGCACTGATAGAAGTTTCCAACGTTGTGACAAAAAAGATATCTAGAAATCGGCAATACTTTTGCAGTAGACCGAGTAATTCACATCATGTTTTTAGTGCAAACTAACTTTGATTCACAGTCCATGTTAATTTCTGAACAGTTTGGTCTCTTTGTATATTCATACAAGTTGTCGGTGTACTTGTTCGAAAGAGCGTTTCTGTTCGTATAAGGTTGCAGTTCCTAGATTCCTAGCGATTTGCAAATCTTGCTTCCATTTACAAACAGACTACCTTCATGGAAGCATTGACAAAATGTGTTGGCGGATAGCAGTCAGGATATGAAGGTGGATACTGTTCTTCTCGCTTTTTGCGGGTCTGAAAATGCTGCGAAAAAATGGGACACTATAAACCATCGCAAAGAATCAGTCAGTCAATGTATACCTATCTGAAGGAAGTATCGTTTTCATTTTATAATTTACCTGGTGGCGTTGCCGCCATGACTCCCATATATTGTCCATCATACTGTGGTGATAAAAGAATATTGGCTAAACAGTTTGTTACTTCAGAATCTGTTTATGATACTAGCATCACCTCACTGGTAGCTGAGTATGTTTCGCGCATGTCCCCGCTTATGAAGTAATGTACATAATCGTGTGAGTAGGACAACAGCCGCTCATCATCAGTTGCGATCTTGCAGGTCTAAAATGACTGGCATGTGCTGGTGTGTTATGCAGTCAAATATTTACAAAAAACTGGACACCTCGAGCGGGAAGGCTGCTGCCAGAATATTCTCGATTTTGTTCTGCTCCAGCACGATATCAATCCGTGCATTATTGAGTACCTCGCCGTTTTCCTGGTCGGGTACAAAACGCAAGAGCCTACGTTCTTCCTAAACGGTATTTGTCGCATTCTGGTGAATATGGAATGAAACATACCTCCATATTCAACCAATCAGAGAACGGACCATCTATTATTTGTCCAGAGGAGTTAGAAGCGCCAACAAATAATGAGGAGAAAAACAACGATTCGCGTGGTTCGGGCAGTTCAGACTAAAAAGAACGTGAGAAAATGACTCTTATGCTTAGTTTTGTATGCTATATCAAAGCAAGATTCGAAAAAAAGGAAAGGGAAAGAAAGTCACCTCCAGGGTACTGTCCCAGTAAGGAAGCCCAAGACGACTACCAGCCGGCAGATATCGCCGAAATACAATCTCAAATCTGGTGTTGAAATATTTTGCATGTCTCTCACTCGTGCATACTCACCTTTTAAGATACTCTCTGTGCCATGTGAAGAACCCAGGTCCTTCGTGGAGTCCACTATATTTGTGAACAAAGCCGATACGATCATAAACACCAGCTGTTTTCATTTTGTTGAACGCGCTCTGCACATGAGGTATTTTATACACGTTAGTGCCCTAGTAGATTTTGACTGATCCATTCCCCCTCCCTATTCTTTCCAGGGTGCCTCAATGTCCACCTTATTGCAGCTGTAATGCGTTATAAGTCTACAGGGTTAAAAATTGCACAGTCCAATACTTGGAGGACTTCAATAGTATCTCGGTACACCAAGAAAACAGACCAGTAATGCCTCACCGCAATTTGGAGACGTTCACTGTTGCTGAGCTGTCTTGCCTCTTTGCGAATCGCTTTTTCGAGGATCTTCCCATTTTCCAGTACACATTTAGACGCTGAGATTTTTCCTGCAAGTTTGCGAGTAAAAAGGATTTCTCGATAAGACATTGCAGTAAAGATAAGGTAACAGTGAGTCCATACTCCCATGTACCTATATCGGTGTAGACAATGCTCTTGGCTATGATGAATTTGAGTGGTGGACGAGCCAACGACGACTCTTTCGAATTCATTATGGCCACAAGGCAGCACTGCCTGCGCCGATGGATGAACAATAAATTATGATCCAGTGTTAGAACTAATTAACACGTTGACGACCGCGCCATTTTGGGCGAAACTCCCATTAACGTCCTTCGCGCATTTGGCCCGTGCATACGCGCGGATGCACGAAAACTATGTGGGAGTCTTTTTGACGCTTATTCATAAAACATGTGAACTTTGTTCAGAGATACATGTATATCACAGAGCCTTACCAGAACTTACACAAATCAAGGTTTTTGCGTGGATTTTCCCTCCCAATAACCGCGCAATCGCTATATTGGAGGAATTTCTTTTCAAAAAAAAACCGCTGTAATACCAGGCATTTTTTGCTTGATTCATCTTTTTTTGCTTTTAAAACAGCTTTACAGAGTATTAACCTTCTCGGAAAAACGTAATTAGCATGTGTTTACCTTACCAAAAACCGACTGATTACCCAATTTTGCGGCCCAAACATCTGAACAGCTGCCGCGATGCCCTGTGTTCTGTAAGACTATCAGGCCACCAGTAGTATTACTGCATAGAAGTTACCTTAAAACTTTTCGTTTGGACCTAAAAAACTAGCGTGCATATGCGCGGATGCACGAAAATGCTAAACGGGAGTTAGGGCGTGCATACGCGCGGATGCATATGGTCGTCAACGTGTTAAAGATGTATCAAACGAACAGCATCATTAGAAAGTGGCATACCTCCGTAATACGGACACAAACAAAGCAGATCCAAGCATGGCAGATATTTCTTCTCTTCATCGGTCCATTCATGCGGAACATACACGTCGTCTTTGGGAAGATTATGCTTTCCAAAATTACTCGATTTCATTCGCGAGGCAGGGATCTAAGTTTCTTTGCATACAGTGCGCAAGTAAGGCAAAACTAATAACTTTAGGATGGGGAAGATGCGGATAGCGAAACCATGGTTGATCGAAGGTTTCCACATATACATGTCCATTAAGATTGTAGGTTGTAGATGTCTTATAAGCTGACACGGCGTAAATAAGCATGCAAAATATTCCACTGACAATAAACTGCATGTTCCTCGCCTGCAACAATCAAAATCAGCAAATTAGGATCAAAGCATAAATTTGGCATAGTCTTAGTGTAATGCTTTGGAGAAACCATTTCTTTCTCATTATTTGGTGATCAACAATATCAAAACAAAATTGAAGATATTGTATACAATCTCGTTTATGCAGCTTTGCGATCACCGCATTTTATTTTCTTATTCTAGTGAATAAAGTAGCAAACGCTAAAAATGACTTACAACGTGTATAGGCTAAACGCTACATATTGCGAGACTTTTCACTAATGACAGTATGAACAAATAAACTCAATGAAGACCGCAATATGCCACAAAATAAAGATATCGGACTAGAAGTATCATACTATTTACATGTGTCAGGCAATAAATTGCCCCTCCCAGCATGACCAAAATAGTGCTTGTCTTACTGTTATGTTTATGTTATGATCACATTCGCCAGACACACACGCTGACGAAGGCAAGACTATGATGTTTAGCAAACTGCTAGCATTTGGAGAATCAGCAGAAACAAGAACTACCTAATCTTACAGATAAGTCCGCCTTTTTGACACAAAAAATCAATCGCCCTCGCGCCGCCAATCTTGCAGATAAGTCCTCCCATCAGATAGGTCCGCCCACAGGTAAGTCCGGACTTATCTGTGAGATTTTTGGGCAGTTACAATGGAAAGAAAGCGGACTTATCTGTAAGATTTTAGGGTACCTGGTAACAAACTAAGGCCCGCATGCACTAACATCCCTGCGGCGAGGGGAGCGACATCCCCAATGATGTAAAAGTCGTAGCGGCGTCCGCACGCGACCCTTTCATAATGGGGGATGCCGCTCCCCTCGCCGCAGGGATGTTAGTGCATACGGCCCTAAATTGCCACCAACATTACCATTATCAAGTAAGAGAAAGAGTCTGTTTATTGGAGCCTTCAAAAAATTACCTTCATAACAAAGATAAATGTCACCATAAGTTGTCACTCAAGTTTATACCGAAAATCAACAGACGAAGCAAATCACTTACCCAAAACTGATGGAATGCACATTATTGGCCTCAACACGGGCACTTTATTGCGTAGGTGCTAACCCTAAAGTAATGAATGACATCAAATCAACGCTGATATTATATCAAAGTGATTCATACCTGCGATAAGGGAATGTAGGTGACCTTGAATGGCGGTGTGTGCCCTTTTCAACACTTCAACCTTGTTGAAGATCAATTTGTTGTTGTTATCACCGCGCAATATTATTGTAACATCAACTACTGGTCAATTCAGACCTAGTAAAAAGCTTCAGGGAATGGCATCTTCGCGAAAGATGTGAATTATGACTTTGATCCTTTACCATATAGGCTAAAGCATCCATACTCGATCAGCCCATATGTTGAGTATGCAGATGACTACTATGTGCGGAAGAAATGCAACACTCTTCTTACAAACATCACCCAAAACATCCACCACCTAGCATTCGACACCGTATGATGTCATAAACGATACAATATCATCTCAAAGCGATATTTTATTTCCTCTAAATGGCCCAAATTACATAGAAGAATAAGATAGGATAACGCTATATGGAGACAATGTGAATAAACAATGAGATGCTGTATAGGATATCTTCAGACGAATAGGTCAAAACAAAAAACACAACAACCTTTACAAACGAGATAAAACACACAGACACTTCAAAAGTTCAAGTAAAGACAAAATGTATCATATACAAAAAATAGCATACAAAAGGATAACATTGAGGTTATCTTTCTAGACAAACTACTATGTAGATATCAATGAAAAGAATAATACATGGTCTGAGTTAACTTCCTGATGTAAATGTACATTTAGACTCACTTGCGATGGCGGCCGCCTGAAAGCGATGTATTGTTGCTTTCCGTGATCAAGGTTGAACTGAATTGTAGCTGCGGAGACAAAATGCTGGATGTGCTTAGCTGGCAAGATTTTTTGTAGCTGCTTATGCTTAAAGCACTAGCAAACAGAATCAAACTGGCATTGGTCTTCTACAATATTAAGTACGAAAAAGCAAAAATGGGAGTAAGAACCAGCTACATTGGGGAATGGGAGGAGAATTGGTCCTCAAGAATGGCAATATTTTAGTTAACATATACGCTTGTAACGCTTACAAATAACAGTCTAGGAAAAAAAGCTTCACTATTTGATGTCTAATGCAGGCCTCGATCAAAAAATGAATTCATAAGCGCCTTGAATAGAAAGTTAGGTCTCAAAGCCGTAAAATAAGTAGAAAGGTGTTAAAAAGTGCAATAAGAAAAGATAAGAAGGAAGGAAACAAACATGCTCACGTCAATAGGCGAAGGTATTGTCCTCTAACCATTTCGGCGTTTTACGCACTCTAGACGGTCGGACTTCTCCGCTAAGATCAATCTGAACAACAACAGCCTCTTCCTCCACATCCATTTACTGCAAGCATAACGGAAAGAAAGTCAACTTACATCGCTCATTGACATCGGCTTGGACAACTCGCTGATGATATTGGTATTATCCACATTATTTTCAACTTTCAGCACCTTTTGTGGGGTTGTCGACTTCCTGTTATAGGCTCTTTTCGGAGCGCGCTGTAACGAACAGAGACTAGCAGAAACACAACAGAATCTAGATGGTCAATGTATTTGTGTAGTCAGTATTCTATGCAAAGAATTTCTTCAAAGAGGGGCTCACCGTAGCAGGCAAAACTTTGGGTTCATTATCACTGGCTACAGCGACAACAGGTGGAGTTGAGGTGGTCTCCTAGAATGAGACTGAATTGAGAGGCATCGTGCTCAACAAAGAAACTTACAGTCATTTCATTCTTTGCAACAGCAAGCTTGGTGGACGCTTTTTCTGCATTTGGTGGTCGGCCAATTCTCTGAAGTTTACAAAAACAGATCCCATGAATTACAATGGAAGTTTTCAAGTAAATTATGCAGCTTCACGACAGAAAATTAAAATTCGCCCAATTCCAAACTCAAAATTAACTTCCATATAAAATTAGGCCACAAAAATGACAAGTGGTGCAAGAGGAACCGTAGCAACTGCCAACTGTTACTGCCAATGCATGTAATGCTTTTCTTACAAAGCGCGAGTTTTGGACTCAATAAAATGATTAAAGTCAAAATATAATAAATGCTATACCGAATAAGTTTTGTTCAGAGCCCCATGATGTGTGCAGTTTGGTAATACTACCGCAAGTAAATACTTGAAATAATTGGAGTTGGAGTTTTACCTTTGAGAGACTCTTTACTGATTGAGGTATTTTTACAATTCATTTCCGAAGTAAGTCTATTCAACAACTCCATAGACTATATAAGAGCATAAAACAAGGAGATGATCCAAATTTCTGCTTATACCCTAATTTCACGCGTATAAGGCGCGGGGGATTTTTTTTTTCACGAATCGACCAGCCCGGACACGCTAAGGGGCTTTACAACCAAAAGACCCTATAACGTGCTGTATATTGCTTAAGAAAATCGTGCGGCATGAAGATCTCTTTCCGGAATACAGTGAAGCGGCTGAGCGGCTGGCTTGAAAAATCGAAAAAATGCGCCTTATACGCGTGAAGTTAGGGTAATTAAAAATGAGGGTGATGCGTTGGCTATTGCCACTTACCAACTATCGTTGCTCTTGCTCGCCACCCCAAAAATATGTCTGGCAAACATAAATGTTGAAGCACAACAGTAGTTAAACCAAGGACGGCAAATCTAAGTCTGTGTTTGATCGACTCGTGTGCCATTTAAGCCGACCACCCTGTGGAACGGTATTCCTGGATGGAGGAGAAAAGAATGGCAATCTTTTTCGGCCTCTCACATAACATTCTGAATAATGATCTTCAGAACGCCGGATGGTAGGCCTGCTTTACGCAATTCACTAGTACTACACGGCTCCTACTTACCGAAACTGATGATTTAGGGCTCTCTATATGCTATACACTAACACCATCTATAAGTGCGGCCCTAGGATCTCAGATTCTTTCGCTAGTGTTTCCCATGAGCAAAGGACCCAGTGTTTGCGAGTACCTACTTGAACACTCGAGAACGCTACCCTTTGAATGTTTATACTTTTGGTTTCAGGAAAGAATTAGTGAAACTTTCAGGAGTAAAAAACCCTTACCTTTACGCTGGGTAACTTCTTCAACTCCTGAACACTGGGAACCTTCTTTAACTCCTGGGCGATCATTGTCGAAGCGAGTTTCGTAGGAACTGGCACCTGAAGTGCGACCATGAAAAGTTCCATAATTAGATTAAGTTCTGAACAAACTTACAGAATCGTCTGCCATTGGCTTCTTCACTGGGCGAACGGCTTTGGGAGCGGTCATGGTTCTGACAGGAGGAGGAATGAGCTGTGATCGTCCGTTCAATTCCGCATCGACGTCAGCCGCGCGGCTGCTATCGCAACGCATCACATGGCGCATGAAGCCATCAGCTTTGCGGAAAAGTGTTGCGCAGGTTCTGAATCAAGATAAACTCATACAAGGAAACTTTTGATTGAGCCAAATCTTCGAACATGAAGCAAAAGAACGAACAAGTCAAGTTACAAGGCCTTTAGACGGTGGTATACCCAAATCGTACATGTTGGGTTTCCAGTCAGGATCGTATGTATTCCGGATTTGATTGAACTTGCTTTGATAAGCTTGATTAATACAGTGAAGATATAGAAACTTCGAAAAGGAACTGACTGTGTTGAGCCGTTTTGTTGCACAGGTTATTATCGGTAACACTTTACCAAAAACCGACTACAAGAACAAAACTTTAAAGTCTATCATGTCATGAAAGGCCCAGGTTTCATAAAACAGGACATATGAGATGATTATGCTCCACTTTCACCAGTTCGCCAAAAAGAGGATTGCTTAGATTGAAAAGTGAATGAAGCAAACCACTAGCGCTATCCTGGAATGGGTAAAACCATATGAATTGTAATGTTAGTCACTTCCTTCTTGAAATTAAGTCCACGTGGAATATGAACAACCCCTCCATGTCTAATTTTAATCACTGGCGGTCATAGCAGCTGATGCAGAAGTACAAAAAACAAGAGTAGTTGTATTCAGCAATCAAAAGTGATTCAAAGATGAGGCCAGTTACATTTCGCAAAGAACTGTATGCCTAAGATTGCTTGAATAGCCACTTTGAAAAAGCCAAAACTCAAACCATAACTGAAGTGATCGATCATCGGAACAATTCGTTCATGAAACTAGCTTCTTTCTTTCATTTTCAAACGCAAGAAATGTTGTGACTTAGTCTCGTTTCCTCGATCGGAATTTCCACCGCTCAAAAGTGGAAAAGCAACTTCCCACTGTGCGACTTTCACTTCTCATTCCACTCTCGCTTCAATATTTACTTTGTTTTGATGCTGGTTTTACTTGGAACCCCATATTCATACCAAGAATACTTCCTACCTGCACTCCAAAATTACATTTGCTCTTTTCGAAAAAGCCGAGCGATCAGAAGACGAAGCCGATTCCAAGAAGCTCACCAGCTCGTTGACGCCTAAATTCATTGATGATAGTCTGTTGGAATCTGATGAAATGATGAGAAAACTTACCACTTAACGCTCCACGAGCTGAAGTTTCCACCATATCGTCTGGGTGCTCTAGAAATTTATCTGAAGGATTTTCCAAGCAATAGACTAGCTGAGGAGCTGCGCTGCTGTTACGTCAAACTAGGGGCGCTGATCGAAGCGCGAGGTCACCAACAGGTCAACTGCAGGATGAGCTAGGGCTATTTTATTCAGAAAGCAGTCAAACCAAAGCAAAAGAAGCATAGAAATTTGCAAAATCAGATGGGGAGTGCCTTGCGTACGACGCAAACACAGGGACGCAAAGGAGCACCGTTACCACCGCTCCCATCCCATGTACTATCTGGGAAAGTTTAAGAAATAATACCTGGTTCCATATACATATTAGCTATTAAACGGTGGATTCATTAAGCAAAACGCTCAACACGGTTGGCGTTATTGAAAGAGGGGCGCGGAATGAGCCTCATTTGAATCGCAGCTGCCCCAATGAGGTAAACAGCAAAGCTGACTTTCGCTAGTGGCCGTTGAACTGGCAGATATCGATGTTTTGGTAAAGTTACAATATTGGCTGGATATATTGAAATTCGACTTACAGAGGCTGCGTTCAATTCTGTAACACATTCTTAATATCGCATGCCTGCAGCTTCAACCCGAACTTGTCTCCTCATCAAAAATTGAAATTTTCATACCCTCGAGTACACTAAACTGGATGTCAATGTAGCCAAGCATCCTATGATAATAGGTAGGAGACCGTAGTAAAATAGAACGACCCATTTTCCCAAATTCTAGTCGCTATGTGCATTAAAATAGCTCAGCACTTCAATGGTTCTAAGCCGAATGGAGTGACATACAGGATATTCTAGTAAAGTGCATGAAACGTTTGATCGCCAGTAACTTTCTTATTCTAGCAGCTTTCGAGGGCTTTTGTATTATATTGTAGGTAGGATAGATTTACAGTACAGAAAAAGCCATAAATCCCTCCACTACTATGAGACTACGGTAGGAACTTCCAGCACGATGTCGTCATTACACAGCTGCCATTTAAAAGTCTAAACATTTGACTTTTGCGGTGAGAATTTTAGGCAAGCTGTTCTGGTAAATTGTACAGGCGTGTAGGGCAGTCTAGATGGTATACTTTTTGATTTTTTTTGCAAATATTTGGAAAACCGTTGTCACGTATACCTGGCTTTTCAGCTAGAGGTTATGAAGCGAGAAGCATACTATTATATATAAAACCAGCAATGCAAATTAACCCAGTAACAAAGTTTCCAACTCTCTTGGAATTACTTGGGACAATACATGCTGTCGGCGCAAATGCAAATCTTTTCAAAATCTTACCGTAAGCCTACAGTAATGAAGAGGTATCGGTGGTCAATTACATTGTAAATCTAAGTTGAAGCCCCACAATATAGCATCTACTGATCCGCAAAAGTTTTTTTTAAGGTTACTACCAACCAAATTTCGATACATTTCTTGAGACACCTTATGTAGCCTCCAGCCAGTACCTATTTACAGTTAGAAAGGTGAGTTTCCTTTTGCATTCCTAGACTAACTCCCCAGTGGTAATGTTTAAGGGACAAATGCTTACCAAAGATAAGTTTCCATTTCTCAAGCCTACATTGCCCACATAGCTATTCCCGGGAGTTGAGCAAACTAGCCTATTACTCTACTTCATCTAAACAAGGCAGTCCTGGGCTGTAATCTCTATCATTTGAAACTTATGCAAAGCAGATAACACCATACAAAAAAATACGAAACTATTTTTTTGCTCCATAAAATCTATAAATATCTAATAATCTATAAATATCATCTTTACGAGAGATGAATTTGGTTGCACCATAACTAATAATCAGCACAACTTTTCGTGAAAGAAAAAAGTCTCCTTTCGGAGGTCTAGCATAACTCGTGACTCCCTTTTCTGTAATAGAAGAACACCTATACAGCCGACGGAGTGCTCATCTTCATAATATTACAAAAGTGAATTAAGGTGACGTAGTAGTAGATATGTTGACAAAATGAAGCAGAAAAATCGGAGGTATCGCGCTTTCACCGAATTTTTTTTTTAAAGTTCATGTTTTGAAAACCAGCTTTGAAGTAGGAAGTGACACCCAATTGGGTGGAGGACTATATGTCGCCGAATTTGGAAGAGTCCCGCGCGGATTCTCTGCAGGAACGCATGTCCGCGCATGTACAAGGGTGCTATTTGTCGCAAATGACCGCGGGGACCGCCCTTTTTCGGCGACATATAGTCCTCCACCCCACCCAATTTTACATGGCAGCTTCTCGTCCCATACATTATGTGCAGAGAAGTGTTTTCATTTTTTCATTTTTCAAGTCATTTTCGTATTTGAGATAGAAAACGCCATCGCAAGAAAACATTTGAGTATTGTTCGCAAAGTATGCTATTCTATCTTGCAAGTAGCCAACCAATATTTGCTCTCGTCTGTGTTTTATGATAGTCGAGAAAAGCTCAGGTTCGCAAATAAGAGGACGACTAGCCTTGTCGCGTCTCGCGATGCAAGGCGCTCCTCGAAGTACGGAGGCCGGGGGCATCGGTTACCGCGCTATCCGGCAACGATTACGGTAGCCAGACGCGTGTTGCCGCGATCGTCTGCGGACCTCTCCTTAATTGGCTCGTTGCCAGCCAGGCGGCTATATAAAGCGGCGGCGCCTCACTTGGGTGCCTTGTTCGCCTTCGTCTTATTGATTGATTTTGGATATCTTGTTCGAATCACGTTTCAGCCGCCATGCTCCTGTCCTTTTTATAAGAGCAGTTGAACCGGAAGTTCTTTGGATTGGAAAATGGATTCTTTTTGGCAGCGCAATCAGACGCGCCTAATACTATCCGGAAAACATCTACAGGAGCTGGAGGGGACGTGCCGTCGTCTACACCTTGGCGTCGCGCGGTGGATTTGTTGCGCGAAACCTCGGGAGCCATTAGTATTCTAGACTAGCTGGCTTACCCGGCTCCGCCCGGCCCTGTCAAAACACTATGTCAAAGAACACTATCCCTATTCCTGTAAGAACCTTCCCCTGTGCCCACGCGTACATGCCAGATCACTATCCCCGCTGTTTTAGTAATCAGCATGCTCGATTACCCCCCTGTGCCAACTCCCAGCCACGTAGGCTCAAACTTTGCAAAAAATCGATAAAATCGATAAAAGTAGTGGACGATCTTAAAAACTAATATTGTATTCGGAATTCCCATGCTCGATTACCCCCCTATGCCAACTCCCAGCCACGTAGGCTCAAACTTTGCAAAAAATCGATAAAATCAAAAGTAGTGGACGATCTTAAAAACTAATATTGTATTCGGAATTCCCATGCTCGATTACCCCCCTATGCAAACTTCCAGTCCCGTAGCTCAAACTTTACAAAAAAAAATCGATAAAATCGATAAAAGTAATCGATAATCCTGAAAACTAATATTGTATTCGGAATTCCCATGCTCGATTACCCTCCTGTGCCAACTCCCAACCCCGTAGCTCAAACTTTGCAAAACAATCGATAAAATCGATAAATGTAGCGGATAATTCCAAAAACTAATATCGTATTTGTAATCAGCATGCTCGATTACCCCCTGTGCCAACTCCCAGCCCCGTAGGTGAACTCTGCAAAAAAATTAATAAAAATCGATAAAATCGATATCGATCGATGACGAAAAGTGGCCTATGACATCCGCCGGGGCCCGAAGTGTATGTGTGCCAAGTTTGGTCCGGATAGGTTCAGAAATGGAATTTTCTATTCGGAACATACGTACAGGCAGACATACAGACAGACAGACAGACATACAGACAGACATACAAACAGACATTCAGCTTTATATATAAGACTAGCGACCCTCCGAGTCGCTAGTAAGTGGGTGGGGGCAGATACATTGATATCTGCCATTAGTTAACACGTTTCGGACCGGACTGCACATGGTGCAGCACCGGTCCGAAACGTGTTAATTTTCAACGTTTACAGGAGGTTTTCTTTTTGTCCAAGGTTATCAAGTCAAAGGCCTATTCTCCTCCTTTCCGAAAGGGTCTGTAGAGCTGTGCTGTCAATATTTGTTCAGGAGATATGAGGACAAATCGAACATCAGTTGTAACGAAGTGCGGCAACACGAACGACGCGTGCGACGTCGCAACTTTTCTTAGCTTTGAATACAAAGAGAAAAACCGTAGTTCCAATAATGATGTGTATCGTGTACAACATAGATACTTTTGGATACAATTAGAAACTGAGTTCTTGTTACTATCTTTCAAGAAAGCACGGAAATCCCTCACAGACGACGAAATTCAAACACTTCGAATTAACTCATAACTCTGGGTATGGACCTTATTTGACATGCTGATTACAGATGTAGCACACAATCTACAAATCAAGGTCCCTTTGTTGGCTAACGGCTGAAAGTCCCTCTTTTTCTCCGCGCGATTCGCGGTCTGAAACGTGTTAACTAAAAATCCCAAGAAAGAGAATTTCCATCTTCCCAGCGAGCTTTCGCGTGTTGTGAGTAGTAGAAACAAAACACTATGCTCTGAGGAAAAGAAGCTACTACCAGTGACTATCCGCAAAGCATCTCTGCTGTTCCTCTTGCAGATACCTTCGCCCAGATACCACAGCTCTTAAACAAGGAAGCTACCTCCAAGCACCTGTTTAGAACAGACGATTCATCCCAAAACTCAGATCAATTTCCAGGAAAGTGCCATGCAAAGGAAACGTCAAGTTATGTCTTCCAGCAGCCGAAAGCTCGAATATGTAGGCAAAAGCGAAGCAGTATTAACTTCGATGATGTCTTGCCAGTGAACGGACTCATTTCTTAGAACAGACTAAAGCTGGCCCAACGCCTTCTTTTGAAGGACAATCTTGCCAAAACTGTCCTGTCGCATAAAACCCTAGGTCTTTCCTTCCCTCGAAACCAAGCTTCTTATGCTTCCGCTTTTAGGGGCAGAAGTATGGTTGAGAAAGAAGGGGCCGTAATTTTTTCAGCAAGTTTCTTTGTAATTAAAGATTGACATCTAAAATTTTTTAGCGCAAACTTGCTGTCTGGGCCCTGAATCTTTTCTTCCCTCGAGGCCAAGCTTCCTGTTTTTTGTTCCTAGGTACAAAAGTGTGGTTTTAGCAAAGTTCAAAAGGCCAAAATTTACAGAGAAGATAATTTCCTGTCGCAAGAAGCCCATGGGTCTGTCTTTCCCTCGAGACCAGTTTTCTGCCTTCAGAGGTAGAAGTCTGGTTTTTGCAGAGTAGAATGGCCACGAATTTCAAACAAGTTTCTGTATAATAAAACATCGACACCCAGAAACTTCTGGCGAAAATATCCTGCTGCCTGAGGCCATAATTCTTTCTTCCCTCGAGACCAAGTTCCTTGTGCTTTTTTGCGTTTAGGGCCAGAAGTGTGGTTTTGAGTTTTGTGGTTTTTGCGAAGTTTGGGAGTCGAACGTTTCAGCGAAAATGTCTTGTCGGATGAAACTCAAGAGCTGTCCTTCCCTAGAAACTAAATTCCCTGTGCTTTTCTGCTTTTAGGGGCAGAAGTACTGGTTTTTGCGAAGTCTAGGAAGTCAAACCCCTTGGCGAAAATGTTTGTCACATGAAGCTCATGTTTCTGTCTTTTTCTCGAAAAACCAAGCTATTTGTGCTGTTTTCCTTTTGGAGGAAGAAGTGTGGTTTTTGCAAAGTAGAATGGCCAGAAGTAAATTTTAAGCAAGTTTCTGTATAATCATTAACATCCAGAAACTTCTGGCGAAAATATCTTGCTGCCTGAGGTAATAATTCTTTCTTCCCTCGAGACCAAGCTCCCTGTCTTTTTTTGCTTTTGGGACCAAAACTGTGTTTTTTGAGTTTGTGGTTTTTGCCAAGTTTGGGGGCCAAAAGTTTCAGTAAAAATGGCCTATCGGATGAAGCTCATGGGTCTGTCCATTCCCAGAGGCCACTTTTCTGCTTTCAGAGGCAGAAGTATGGTTTTTGCAGAGTGGAAGGGACAGAAGTAAATTTCAATGAAATTTCTGTATAATTAGATATTGATTCGTAGAAATTCTTAGCGAAAATATCTTGCCGCCTCAGATTATAAGCCTTTTCTTCCCTCGAAACCAGGCTCTTTGCCTTTTCTGATTTTAGGGGCAGAAGTAGAATTTTAAAAGGTAAAGACGGGCCAAAGTGAATCTAAAACAGCTTTAGGTAAATTTACCGTCCGTCAATTCCGAGTATGATTATAGAATTCTAAAATGCTCACTTACCCCCACCAGTGCCATCTCAGCCTCGTAGCTTCAGCTTTGAAAAAAAGATGAAATCAACAAAAATAATGGGTATTCTCAAAAACGGTTACTATCTTTGCAGTGAGCGCGCTCACATACAACTTTGTGCCAAATACCAGCCGTGTAGCTCTAGTTTTACAAAGAATAGTAACGACAAAATTAATAGGTCTTTCAAGAACACTTAATACAATCGTAATCGGCATGCACGCTTTTCCCCACGTGCCAAATCCCAGCCCCGCAGTAAAAAAAATTGCAAAAAATCGATAAAATGATAAAAATAATTGATAATTCTAAAAACTAATATTGTATTCGTAATCAGCATGTTCGCTTACCCGCCTGTGCCAACTCTCAGCGCCATAGTTCAAAATTTGCAAGTAATCGATAAATTTGGTAGAAGTAGTAACAAGTTTCCATATGGAGAACGACAGACACGAAAACACCATCGACCAGAAAAACACCATCGAGGACGTACAGACAGCATCCACCAGCGCACAGACAAGTACACCATTCGGTTTTATATAGATAGAAGGATTACTTTCCCAGACGCGCATCGGTAGCATGGGACGGGCCCTCGTCCCGTGTTTCTTTTGTAGTAGTGTAGTATTCTTTTTAGTTTAGTATTTTTGTCTATTTTTAATTGTAGTGTATTGTCATAAGGATAAACCACATAATCTATTTAACGTTCTTTCGGCCGCGCGTTAGTGCGCAGTAGGCTAAGTACGTCGCTTAGTATCGGGCGAGCATCAGGCCTCTGTTAACATCTAGGTGCAAGAGCCCACCGAGTCGCCACAGGCTTCCAACCTGTTTCGCTTTTGCTTCTAAAAAAGTGGCAGACATAATACTCTGTATCATTAGAAAACTGATCTCATAGTCAGTAACATCAGCATAATTTCTCCTTAATCACATTTCACTACAAAGTTATTCCTTGCAAATAACATTTTTAATTTGAATGGATGCCATCATTTTTGTTTTTGTCATACTACAAGATTTTCCTGGCTAAAAAAGCGAAGGAGAAGTTTGAACGAGATGTCACTTCATACCCTGTGAGAAACTGAAGGATACTTTGCGATGACGTTACCATATTTATTGTCAACACATTTACCGGACTCAATCTATTAACTTTGATTTTTCACAACTTAATCTGGAATGCTTCTTCATCGTAGGATTTTCAAATGCGAAACCAATCAAAGCAAAGGCACACTTGGGCTGCGCAGTGCTCGTGCCAGCATCGTTCCAGTGCCGGGCTCGCGTGGCGGTAGTACTTCGCTCGAGCAATAAATTCCAAATCGGCGCTAGCAGGTCTTAACACTGCAACCTTGGACGCTGCTTTAGCATTAAGGAACACATTACCCATAGACCGCTGCATGACGAAGGCGCAATATCTTTGTGCGCGAACGTGGTTTCATTAGCCACAGAGCGCATGAAGCGCGGAATTTATAACGGTGAAGATACGCCCGCGCAGCGTTCGCGCCCGCTCGACTAATACTGCTTCTGCGCCTTCGTCATGCAGCAGCCTTGACTTCTTCGCGGCCATCCTTCTTCTCCCCGACAACTCCCTTTGGTCACCTTTGCGTTGTAATCGAGAATTATTCCGGTGGTAAAAAAAAATATACTACAGGACAAAACGTAGTGGTTTCTACCATTTATCAGCAAAACATGATATCACAGTATGACACTGCACAAATTAGAGTCTAAGAGCTAGCTTTCATTTTACATTTGCAATTATCGACAGTCTACATTCGACGAGTATCTTCAGATTTCAAGGTAAGGAATAATTACTATATACTACAAGAGATTTATCTGCGTTTACGTGAAGAAGTTACGAGAAAACTTCGTCGCAGGTTTGCTTCTTCTTCATAGAATGCTGTATATCAGAAGTGCATATAATCATTGCAGTGTAATCGGTGAGCTCTAAAATATCTTTCAAAACACATCACGTCAAACTAATGAGTGCCCTAACACGCGTACAAGGTGCGAGCGATTTTTTTTTCTCGACCAGCCCAAACACGCCAAAGGACTTCGCAACCAAAGGACCCTTGTGGTGCTGCATATTGCGGCAAGAGAATGCAAGGTGCATGCTATTGCAAGAGAATTGTGCGGCATAAAGAGCTTTCCGAAATACACTGAAGCGGTTGAGCGGCTCGGTTGGAAAATCGAAAAAGGTGCGCCTTATACGCGTGAAATTAGGGCAAAAAGAAATGTCAGTGGTGATCAAAATCACTACTTCACAGTCTTCTTAGTCGTCAGCCTTTATTGATGCTGAGCGTAGTTCCGGAACGGTACTATCTCGCTGCCGCACAGTAACTCCAAATTCTCAACAACTCACAGAATGCTGCTGCCTGTTTACGGAGCTCGGGTCAAGCAAGCCGCTGATATGTATTACATGCTTCTTTCGTCCTCGTTGCACTACTTGTAAAACTATAATTAGTTGCTTCTTCCAGTATTTTACCGATATAGGACATAGGTCACTTACCTCGTCTGCTAAGATTTAAGGCGAATCTTCGATATGGTTCATTGCACAAAACCATGGATACTGATGACACGAGGCCATGAAGCGCAATGCCACCCATGGCGATATTAACGATACCTTCAAATTTGCGATCTTCAAATGATAGTTTCTTAAAGTTATTTCTGACTACGAATGAAACATACAGGGTGGCAGAAGAGTATTGTCGCGCACTTTTTTTCCAGAAACACTTTATGACACTAATCTTCATTGTAAAGAGGGAACTCAGTAAGCAGCATTTTTTTGAAACTGCCCAAAATGTTCACGGTTTTTCCTTACATCTGCCTTCATTCGGGAATCACTAAGTGATGACGCACCGCAGGTAAAGGTCACTGCGTGACGAGGGCGCAAAAGCAGTATTAGTTGAGCGGGCGCGTACGCGGCGGTGCGTTCTTCACCGTTGTAAAGCTCTCAGTCTGCGTCTCATACGCTCTGCGGCCTACAAAGCCGCGTTCGCGCCCCTAAGATATTGCGATTTCGTCATGCAGCAGCCTATACTTTGATCTAGATAGACCCATGCTCTTGTGGGTTTCCTACACAGGCCATCTAACTGTTGTCTTCTTGCTAATTTCTCTTCTAGCAAGGGAAGGATACTTGGTCGAAGTGGCGTTTCTATGTAAAATGCATACTGTCATAAGCATGGAGCGCTGTTCCAAAATCTGCTTTCGCTATCTGCAAAGCGACCTAAGAGGAGAGTTATGGAATTTTATGCAAAAATTGATTGCCCCGCTACAATAAGATCACTCGAAACTGTAATCCGTTAGCTTGAATAAGATCATGGTTATTCCAGGGCGCTTTATGCAATGAATATCTTCAATTTAGTAAACTCATGCCAGTCATTACTCCTTTCAAGCGCCGAAAAGTCCTCAACATCTGTTTATACCTTAGCCAAACCACTAGAATTCACCTCAAAAATATCTAATAACTCCCCTCCCAGAAGCGCTTTGCAGATACGGATTACGAAAGTGTACATCTCATATGGAAACGCCACTTCGATCAGGTAACCTTAAGTAACCTTAAGGGCAAATCACGTGGACTGAGATCGGGTTGTTGGAGGAAGGGGGTGGGGGAAGGGAGGGAAGGGAGGGAAGGGGGGGGGGGGGAGGTTGATCTTTTGTCAGATAACCAGGCACATTAGCGTCTACGAAGGCAATGGTGGTCTTTGCTAGGACTACAGCTTTCCTCAGCACCTCTCCCTTATACGTCTTTGCATGATCTTCATATTTCCGGTCATAAAAACCAAAGGCTTCCTTTCAATGGCGCTTATTCCTGTCCAGATCATCATTTCCTCGAAAAAAGCGTTAGAATAGCAAGTTTTCTTTCTAGCGTTCTTCAGACTTAGACTAAGCATTGCATTTTAGTTGTTGTAGGTTATCGCCGCGATCAGGACGCGGCAGCGAAGAAGAAGCGTCGAAGCTTCGAGAAAACCAACTTTGAGTGTAATGTTTTTGCTTGAATGGACGAGCTTGCCTCGGCATACATAAGGAGAGTTGAACATCGTCTTGCTCTTGTTTCAATTCAATGCTCAACCTTTTTGCGCTTTTTTTAGAATCCCATTTCTTGTTCAGTGTTTGCTCATATTGTTGTTTTACATTCTGCCTTTTCCTATCCTTCAAAAATGCGCGAAAGGAAAGGAAAAACTCTCAAAAATAGTTGCATAATATTTTTCTACCTCAAAATATGCTCTGCTTTTCTGCGCTGAAAAAAAGGACTTTCGAAACTATTTTGCGCTTCTTTTATAACCCATATTGCCTACACTTATGCGCTTGTGTTTGTCATTATTTATAGTTTCTTTAGCGCTGTTTGATATTTTTTTATCCAAATGATGTCTTCGTCTAGTCGATGTGGACTGAAATGCATTTATTTGTTTCGATCATTAATCGCTTGTTGCTATGTGTTTCACTGAACTGGGGTGTAGTTACCCAAGTTTAAGTTGAGGTAAATGGCTGCGCAGTGGGTGTTCGTATTGTGCGTTTGGTTCGGTGACCAACCGTTCCATATATCGCGTAGCAATTGAGCATCAGAACCCAATTTAAGGTGCACCATCTACGAAGACAGGACCGCAGAAGCAAAATGAAGAAATTCGAAAAATCGAAATGAAATTTGAACTATACATTATGCCATCTACCATCAGCAGGCAACTCCTGGAATATCAATCACAAGTTTTCGAAGAGAAAAAGCTCTGAAAAACCTAAGAAATGAAACGGAACAATCGAGACAAATATGGAACACGTTAACGAAGAGGGGGAAGGCGCCGCCGCAGAGGTCAAGAAAGAAGTCCTGACAAAAGACAGTAGCAAAGCAGAAGGGCAGAAAAACGAAGATTAGAAGAATGGTTCCACCGCAAAACTTGAGGAAAGAGCCCCGACAGTCGAAAAGGAGAAAAAAGATGAATATGCGCAGCTGGGCCACGAAGCCAAAACTATTAAAGTGATTAGGATTACATCGAAGTACTGGAGATTGAAATGGAAGATGCATCGCTGTCTGGTGAAATGGATGAGGTCCACGAACAGCCAAGATGGAAACTATGGAAGATCTGCCAGAGAAGAACCTGGGAGAAATGAGCTCCTGATACCAAAAGAAGCTCGCTTGCAGACGAACTTGTGGTCCCCGCTCTAGAACTAAAGCTAGATCAAAACCGACAGGATATCGCGAATTTGAATTTGATGATCGAAGAACAGGAAAACCGAAAAACTTGCTGCTCCCGCGGATACCATGGAGGATCCAAGAGACCTTTGAGAGGAATATTTCGTGCGCTTCGGCAACGCAGTCGGAGACCATTACTCCGACTCTTTCACGGATATCTCGACAGGACGGGAGAGACGAGAGGTTCTGGAAATGAAGAGAAGATGCGCAAAGTGCTTGGAATGCGCAGGAGAAGTCCTTTGCAATAAATCCTATGACAGATGTTCCCCTGTTTGAAACAGAGCTCGGCCCTGTCCGAATTGCCAAATACGAGCCATTAACGATTAGAACAATAAAAGCAGTCGAGGGAACGACACCTCCAGTGCATCGATCTAGTTCGAATGGAAATTCGGGAGATCCGCCAAGACCCACTCTCCCGAGAGGGGAGTATCGCCGCGATCAGAATCCAGTAGCGAAGAAAAAGCGTCGAAGCTTTGAGAAAATCAACTTTGAGTGCAATGTTTTTGCTTGAACGGACGAGCTTGCTCCGGCATACATAAGGAGAGGCGAACATCGCCTTGCTCTTGTTTCATTCCAATGCTCAACCTTTTTGCGGTCTTTTTTCTTAGAAGACCATTCCTTTGTCATTGTTTGCTCATATTGTTGTTTAACATTCTGCCTTTTCCTATCCTTCAAAAATGCAAAATGCAAAATGAAAAAGGAAAAACTCTCAAAAATAGTTGCGTATTTTTGTACCTTAAAATATGCTTTGCTTTTTTGCGCTGAGAAGAAAGGACTTTCGTAACTATTTTACGCTTCTTTTATATCCCAAATTGCCTACACTTATGCGCATGTGTTTGTCATTATTATTGGTCCTCAATGCCACCAAATGCGCCAATGCCTTTCAGCCACCATAATAGTAGGGTCACAGCACGACGAGACTGGAGCCTTTGCGTCCCTAAGGCAGTTCGTAGATTTATGAGAAAGAAGCGGAAGAGATGAAAGAGCGCTCGATCAAGGAGACGTGTCGCGTCAACGCGGCAAGGCGCTTCCCAAGCAGGAGGCAGGAAGCATCGGTTGTCGCGCTATCCGGCGACGATTACGGTAGCCGTAACGCTGTTGCTGCAATCGCCTCCGGACTTCTCCTTTGCTGGCTCGTTGCCAGCTCGGCGGCTATTTAAGCGACCACGCCTCAGTTCAGCGCTTGTTCGTCTACGTTTTTACCGATTGATTAATTTCTTTCTCGTACTGTATTTCAGCCGGTATGCTTCTGCCCTTTTTCGTAAGAGCAGTTGAGCCGGACGTCATTTGGATTGGGAAGTGGATACTAGCAGTTAGCGTTATAGACGCGCCTTAGTGAGGCTGAGCGGAAATGAACGTTAAGTTGGAATCCAGGAGCTGGAGGGAACCGTGCTGTCGCCTACAATCTTGTCGTTGCGGGCGGATTTGTTCCTCGAGAGCCGCATGTGTTGAAGATTACTTTTTTGGGCACGCAACAGTAGCATGGGACACGCCCTCGTCCCGTATTGTTACTACTAGTAGTAGTAATTTGCTTTAATTTAGAGTTTCGTTTCTTTCAAGTGTAAAGTGATGTCATCAGGGTAAATAACTTGATGCAGTTCGGTCGCGCGTTAGGGGCATAGTAGGGTAGGTTCGTCGTCAGCAGCGGGCGAGCCCTAGGCCTAGTATTCCATCTACAGGCTGCTGTATGACGAAGGCGCAATATCTTTGGGCGCGAACGCAGCTTTATTAGCCGCAGAGCGCATGGGGCGCAGGATTTACAACGGTGAGGATACGCGTGCGCCGCGTTCGCGCCCTCTCAACTGATACCGCTATTGCGACTTCGTCATGCAGTAGCCTTTAGATGTTATGAGCCCACCGAGTCGCTACAAGACGCTGACAGCGTCCGCAATGACATCCTGTCTCTGCGCGCAGAAAACAGCCTTAGACGCATAAGTCTCAGCAATGACAAAGTGGTAGAGCATTTACTGTTTCTGCTGGACATTGGACGAAAAGAGAACATGTATGATTCTTTTCGTGTATCTTTCAAGGCTGTTGTTTCCCGCAATTGTTCTGCTGTTATCAGATTTCCCCCTAACGTCTGCTGCTTACCTTGCACACTCATTGATGAGGTTATCATAGTTAGCATGAAGATGAACAGCGGGATAAATAGGCAAAGTCCAGGAATTGAAGCCTTAAAAAACTGTTTGAATGTACTGTGAATTTGATTTTATGGGTGAGAAGTTTCGTTATTCGGCAGAATTGCCCTCAGGGCCCAGCACGAGTCGGATTCCACGGTTTTTGAAAACTAAGTCCTCCCTGACTATCGAAAATATTTCGAAGTCCCTTTTGGTTTTTATCGGAAACCTACCAACGTAGGAGAAGACGAAAACACAGAAGAGACACTAATCTGAAAGGAAAAACGTGAATTATGAGCGAAAATTCAAAGTGGAGCTGAATACAGTCTGCTCCAATTGGGATCAGGCCCGAACCGTCGGCGTAGATTTGCGCGCTTGCAGCGCCAAGCGTTTGCGCTGCATATGCGCGCTGTCAGAGAGAGAAAAAGGATTGAGAGAGTAAAGAAGCAGGCCGTGGGCGTGACCGCAAAACTCTAGCGACGCGGACTCCCGCCGTGTCAATTTTGGCCTGGTTAGCATTGGGGCAGACTGTACTACGCATGCACAAAAGCTTGTCATTGGAGCGCGATATCTAACAAAGCGAGTTATGAAGAAATTGAGGCGAAAAGAAACGATATGGGAATGTTCCCATGCTCAGGGATGGATTTTTGACCAGGGAATCCATCTATGGTAAAAAAAAATCCGAAACTTATGTGGACTTACAAAAATATATGCTCCAGACGATCTCAGATCGTCTGGTGGCCGTCTAAAACGATCTATTTTTGGAAAATATACTACTTCACATAAGTTTACAGACCCACATATTTCTTCCCTAAATAATATTCTGTGTCTACTGCAATTTGATGTCATATGCTTATACCTACGCTGTAAGCAACAATTTGTCAAATTTGGCTTTGCTTTTAAATCGCGCACAAGACACGATAGAGCGCGTCCATTGTGCAACAACCTGTCTTCAGAGGTTGTGCTTGACTGAGTGGTCGCTACTAGCGCTACAGGAAGTGCGTTGAATTCTCTTGTACAATGTATGTGCAGTTTTTCTCCACATGCTTCGTTAGTAATGCAGTAACCGCAAAAACGATATCCTCTTTGCTTTTTATCCCGAAAACGAAGTCTAGCCTGTTTCCAGACGATCTGTGCCGAGCCCTGATTGCCCTTCAGCGGAGTATCATTATGATGAGAAATCTCACCTGTATGTAAACGTAATAAAGAAACCGCCTCTGCATATTCCTGGTTCTTTGTGAAAGATTTCCTCTCTGGTTCAAGTAGTGATAAGAAGACCAGATGATTGTAGCCATCAAAGGTGCACCCAGAACAAGCAGAACAATCGAGGTAATCAGGAACGGTCGAATGCTTTCTGATGTGTAAATGTGGAGCCGTGGAACATTCATTACTGACCCGGCGCATGAATATTCCTAGAATAATTCAAAGAAGTTCGCTCGTTTTGTAACTGAATAACGAGAGTAACGCGATGGCTGCAAGTTTCGCACGACGATATACAAAATGGCTGCCATGTTTTCACGACCGCTCAGTAGCGTCTATAACGCGACGCCATTACTTCGGTAATGCACCATTGGCTATCAATTCCGCGCGATTAATTTCTTCTTACCGTCAGCACCCACTGTTTAGCTGCAATTTGATCTGGAGAGCTGTTCAACAATGAAATTAGAATGGTGGGGACGTAAAGCAGAAAATAAGCCACACTTGCGTATATATGCCCTAAAGTGTGTACCGTAATTGTTCAGCTGATGGACAATTTTTTACCTACCTTTACCACTGAATCTGAGAAAATGATTGAACGGCAGTATCATATAAACTCTATAAGTGAATAAGCATAGGATACAAGTGGCAATGCATACATTCGATGTCACCACCAAAATCAGTGTTGGATGAACACCGATAGAAAACCACTCGGCCATCCATGATCCGGTGTAGCCCATGGTTATTGGGAAGAAGACCACAGGCAATGTTATGGTGGTATAAATAAAGTCGCAGGTACTCGAAACACTTTGATAAATAAGCAGGTAGTAGGCGAAATCACCCATTTGTTTTGGAGATTTGTAAAGTATGCAATATACGGCGAAGATGTTGAATGACGGAGAGAGTATAGACATGAAGCGAATGAAATATATGTAGTTTTTCGGATAAACGTCGAAGTCGTCACATTCAATCATTTTCGCAAGGTTCTGAATATTTTGAGCTCGAAGGTTTTGCAAGTAGACACACGATGCGCTGGACATAACTTACGTATGAAGTTCCTGACCACTTACTATCACAGCATGACGTTCAGAAAAACTTAACATTTCCCTAGAATTGAAAGACGAGTTTGAGAAATTGTTCTCTACAACAAATGGCCGTAGTAAAGCTAATTCAGTTCAAGTGAGCTGAACTGAGGACCTCATCCGAAATTCCTTGAGGTGAAGTGACGACCACCCCCTTCCCATGCTGTAAGAATGCAAAATGAATTTTTAGGTGATCGTTTGTCTACCTGAGAGGTCGTCTACCTTACTTAAATCAGTTCGCATTTAATTGACGAATTGATTTAAATAGCGGGTTAATGATGTTACTCAGAGAAAGTTTCCGCAAGTTAGCACACGTCTTTACAACCAACATGTTGAAGAAATATCAATTGAGGAGGCGAAGGTTTACAACTGAGGCAGCTTTACTACGGGCCAATGTCTCACTTACGTGTCACAGGAAGTAGTATGGACGACTGGTTGTCGAATGTATGACATTATGTTTGCTTCATAGCCAGAAGCACCTGCACTCATTGCGAAGCGGTACCAAGTACTCTAATCTCTTCCGTGCGTTAGTGTCGATGAACTACGAGCCTTTGCTCATTGATTCAGACTAAGATTCTGTAAATCACCCCTTTCACTAAATGTTCCGCTGAAGTTATTTTTACTCAGTTCCTAAACATTAATGTGTCCTCCATTTCCAGAGATTATATGGATGGTTTATTGAACGCAGAGACAGGGCACCATTGCGTACGCTTTCGTCGTCTCTCTGCTCAAGCGCACCTCCATCCCTCTTACCACCTGCCGTATCTTCCTACCATCCTATCCTAGTCGGACGCAATGACTTTCAGTTTCTATGTGTGATGAATCATTTATACAGTAACTGTGGAACGCTGAGGAATTGTGTTAGTGTCGGATCCAAGGAGACCGCCTTTGGCTGCCCTCGCCCTTTGCTTTTCAGAAGAAGGAATCGATTGTTACCCGATTATTAGTATCAACCAGAACTTGTGTTACTTTACCAGCATGAATAAGGGCTTAGGGTGTCGCGGCTTCGCGCTGCGATCGCTCCTGGATGTAGGAGACCGGGAGCGCTGGTCGCTGCCTCGTTACCCTGCAAAAATTACGGTACTTTTTCACACTTGTCGCAATCGCCTCCAGGCCTCTCCTCGCCTTGGCGCATTGCCAGTCAAAAGGCTATATATAGCAGCGCCATCGCAGCATCTGTTCGCCTTCCTTCTCGGTCGTTAATCTTTCCTCTGTTTTCTATTGTGCTCGTGCCTGGCACTTCAGCTTCCGCCTTTAATGTCAATTTCGCAGTAGTGGTCGAGCGTATCGGAATAATTCATAGTAGACTGGATTAAGTCGGAAAAGGATTGACTTTCGACGAGCCATAGAGGATATTAAGATTTTATGAAATTTGGGAACTGAGGGGCTGTTGCGCCAGTCATTAGGCGCGTGGGGATCTATAAGGTAAAGCCTTGGGAGCACATATGATCTTAGTATTTATTAGCTGGCATACCCGGCTCCGCTTGGCCTTGTTTAGACACTATGATAAATGTCCCACCCCTAGCTTTCAGCTTTATTTTAAGATGGACGCGCACTATCGGTAGCACGGGATGGGGCACTCTGTCCCGTGTTGGGATTTCATTTACGTAGTGGTTTAGTAGTTTTTTCAGCATAGTCTTTGATTGTTATTTCGTGCATAAGGAGAAACTGTTAGTGTTTTATCTTCTGTTTTGTACGCTCTAGGTTGAGGGCAGGCTAGATGCGTCGTAAGAGAGCGGGCGAGCGCATTAGGTTTCTCGGTTAGTATCTAGGTGCTGCGGGCTCATCCAGCCACCACATCACCACATAGGAGCTTCAGTTGATTTTGGAGCTTAATTGGTTCAGATCACAGCGTGCAAAGTGCTGGGGATTTGCGGAACACAGCTTTTGGGAAAGTTTCGTATAATAAGTGGGAAAGTTCCGTGGACCGCCAGAGCTTTCCTAGATTCCTAGTGGAACGTCGGCATCGACTATCCGGGTTTTCATGATTTCAAAAAGTCATAAATAACATAGTCACACAGCACTCACAGCGTGATTGAGCCTGGTCGGTAAATTCACATCACTCGTCTGACTAATGCTGATGGCATGCTTTCTTCTAATTTTCCAGCATCCCACTACAACATTTGAAACCACTTAATCTTTTGCCGGAGTACGCACTCACCGCGTTCGCAAAGTTTGAACGTGAATCTTCGATAAGGTTCGTTGCAAAATATCATAGAAAGCGACGACACCAGACCATGTAGGGCTACAGCACCCATGGAGACATTGCCGGCACCTTCAATAGCGTGCGCAAAAGGCCCTGGTATTTAATAACCACCTCAAAGTAATTAAGTACCTTGCATGCTCATTGCTGAAGTCGCCTCGACGAACATGAAAGTAAGCAATGGAAACACTAAACACAGAGACGGAATTGACACCTTAATATATTAGGTTGTCCCGAAAGTTCTGTCGTTTCACTTTGAAAATTTGTAACTTTTTGCTTTTGTAACGGATTTGCTTCTTCTAATTTCATTAAAAAGAAAAAGCTTTCTCCTTTGTAATAACTCCTCGAAGAGCTTTAACTGTACATTCATTGTAAAGATAAAAATGGAAGAAGAAGACCACTTGAGCTTTGATCATTTTAGGTAAAGTCGCCAAAAGTCTGAAACGCTCCAGAAAAATCTGAAATTGCCAGTACATAAGTTTTATGACCTATTCTTTGCATCAGAGAATGTGCCGTTTGAACGTTTCAATAAAAAGTTACGATTTTCGAGTTTACGTTAGAAAACGCCAAAAGTGATTAATTTGTCACTTTTCTCGAAAATCATAACTTCTCAGTGGAACGTCGAAAAAGCACAATTTTTTCTCTGATGGGAAAGAGTAGATCATAAAACTTATATACGGGTGCGTCAAAAGTCTTGGAGCCTAGCACTTTTTCACATAAAATCAGAAGGAAAGCACCTAGAAACAAAAAGTTTGGTGCACATATAATTTGAACCTTTACAAATATAGCGCAGCTTTCAAATTTTGAGATTGCCTCCTTTGGTTTTGAAGTAGCCCTTCAAAATTGCAGCGAGTCCACCTGTCGTAGCGCGCATGTAGTCCTGATAAGATTCGTCCAACGCCTTCAGGGTGACTGCTTCTTTCACTTAGCAAATGTGCAACAGGATAGAGCAAGCTTTTATCTACAACATACTTCCAAGAAAATTTTTCGCAGTATTTAGAAAAAGAAATTTTCGAATTGTAAGTGAAGGCAAATGCACTCTCCCATACTGGAAAGATGCCAGTGCGCGAAGGAAAGCGGAAAATTATAACGTAAGAAGTATTAGAATTGCTCTATTGACGGAATTCAACTGGATGCTTATGTATAAGACTTATAGAAAAAAATTTAACCCAGGACTCAGTGCTTGCCGCGATTCTATAGCTTTCAAGTTTGTTTTGGTGACAGATGACTACTGGCACGCAGGGAACATTCGCAAACCTTTATTTTTTTGTTCGGAAGAACAACGTTTGGCAAACGAGAATACTACGATGTGGTAGTGCAAAGCCCCCTCTACAACGTGTGCATCAAAAAACTGTAGAATATTTAAAGTCCCGTTACAACGTGTGCACTCAAAAACTGTAGAATATTTAAAGTATCTCTAGCTACAAGATGGAATGTTACTACTAAAAATTTTGATTTTCACATAAGCACTTGTTTAATAATTTCAATTCTTACCAGAGCGCATGAGAACACTTCCAGCTAGGTAAATTGCGTTTTGAAGAGGGTGATCGTTGCATTATGTGACACAAAACTGGAATCAAAATTATGAGTAGTTTCGTAATTTACAACATGCTTAAGCTGGCTCCCAGACTTTTGACGCACCTTGTACTGACAATTTCAGATTTTTCTGCAACGTTCCAGACTTTTGGCGACCTAACTTAAATTGGGCAAAGCTGAAGTGTTCTTCTTCTCTCTTCGATGAATGTATAGTTGGCGCTCATTCAGGTACTACTACAAAGAAAAAGAGTTCTTCTTTTTGGTGTAGCTAGAGAGAAGCAAATTTTCAAAAAAAACGACAGAACTTTTGGGACAACTAATATGTTCGGCAGTGGTCCAAAGATTTTTTTTTCGCGAGAGAGGATTATTC